CTCCCGGACCTGGTGGATATGATTAAGGAAATGAATTTGGGTCCTTACCAAAATATGCTATGAAGAAAATACCATGATCTTTATAGTGAAAAAACTTAGCTTAAAATATTAAAAAGATATTTAAATTTAAATATATTAAATTTTAGTTAATCTAAGATTTTCAACTAAAAATAATTCTTCAAGAAATTTCTCTTGAATATAATTTACATTAAAAATTATTGATTTTTTTTTCTAATTAGAGTTAAATGAATAAATAATTTGTAAATATTATGTAAAAAAATAGAATTTGAGTTTACAATACTTCATTTGAAAGTATTTTATGATTGATTAATTTTGCTCTTTTCAATTCAATTATTTTCAGCTTTACTTGAATAAAATTATATAATTTAAGATTTGATGAAATTAAAAAATAAGATAAGGTATTGCCTTTTTGAGAAAATATAATCAAACGTATTTATCAAACATATTTAATTCATCTGAATAGTACATTAATATATTAAAAATATATATTTAGATTATTAACAAGATAAAAAAATTATCTCAATTAATTTTTTAAAATAAGAATGTTAATTTAATTGTTAAAAGATTTATGAATTTTTTTGTTGAACATATACTTTGCATTATTTAAATTTACTGCCTTAGGTTTTTCAATTAAAAGGGTTAGAGACAATCATAAGCTAATATCAATTAAAATCAAGATTATGGAGAAATTGAATTTTTAAGTAATTTCTTATTTCTAATTTTTTAGGAATACTTTTTAGTTAATCATTGTTATTATTTGGATTTGTTTCTAGTATAACTAAAATGATTTATAATACTATTTTATAATTTAATTATTATCTTAATATAATCATTATATTCAAGTAATTAATTATAGAATAGATTCTCCAATTGCATATGTATTTTCTTTTTAATACCCACCCGATAGTAACATAAGTATTGGAATCTTTTTATGTCTTGCACACTTAAATACTAATTCATCTCTTTTTTTAATTCCAGAAGCAGAAATAGAACAATTACCAAGTGGATCTCCTGCCATAATATCTGTACCTGCATTATAAATAATGAATTGCATATCATCTTTGAGATTTACTTCAAGATCTCTTTAGAGTATTTCAATATATTATTCATCTGTAGTACACTTGTCTATGTGTTTAAAACATTTGATGGCTTTTTCTGCTTAACGATCTCTAGGATATATATAAGAGTTATAAAAATCTATTATATAAACTGAAGAATCATTAAGAAAATCTCTTTCATAGCCATTTCCTTGATGAGCATCTAAGTCTATTATTGTTATTTTCTTTAAATTGCAATATTTCTTAAGGTAATTTACTACCAAAGTTATATCAGGATAAATACAAAACCTAATAATGTAATACAATATAATATATACCCACCACCTCTATTTAAAGAGGCATGATGATAACCTCCACTTAGATTAATTGCCCAACCCTTTTCAAGAGCTAGTTTTGCACCATATACACTACCACTTGTTGCAAGAAGCATTGAATCTAAGAGAAATGATCTTAAGAAAACTCCAGGTAAAAAGAATACAGGTAATTCAATTAAAGTTGAGATATATGCACTGTAACAAATTTTAAGTAAGTACCATTTACTCATACCTAAATATAGAAAAGTTCCTCTGGAGAGCATTTATGGTGTAAAATGTTAAGCCTTTATTTTTTATCTAATTTATCTATACACATTCCGATATTTGCAGGAATCAAATGGATGCCGCTTTTCTATACCACAAGCAGTGATATTATAATTATCATGATATATGATTGGTATCTCAGGCATATTTGTTATGCTGATTTCCTATTTTACACTTAAAAGATTATAGCAGAATTCAATAATAAAAGGGTATATTAAATAGAAGAACAATCCTAAAAGGCAAGCTGCTCCATTAACATATATTCCTAATAGAATAGCTATTATAATAGATCCTATTGTAAAGAACCAATCTATAAATGTATATAGTTGCATTTTAATAAAATAAATGAAAGAGTCTAAAAGAAAAAATATACATCAAACTTTTGGAAGGGCTGATCGTTTCCCTAAATAAGAGTTATACTGTGAAAACTCAATCGTCAGCGAACTTAATAAAATATAAAAAACTAACGGACCCACTTTTCCTAAAGGTTAACGAATTATGTTCAATCGAAACTCTGATACTCCAGGACCTGGATATTATAATATTACTTAAGTAAAAGTATTTAGAAGTCCACCTGAAAAACCTTATAAAGTGAATAAGGAATTTTTAGATTATATGAAGTCTCGACCTAAGTCTGTTTAACACAACTATCCAGGACCAGGTTAATATGATTTAGGGACTACATTACGTAAGAGAGGAATTTCATTTACAAGAGCAAGAATAGGCAGTGTAAGAATCACCTAATCACCTGGGCCTGGATAATACACAATTAGTAGGCCAATATCTAGACTTTATTGATATTTAATTTTCATCATGACTTTTTACTGAATCATATAATATATAAATCATACACTTATCTATTGTAATATATTCTATATCTATGAATTTAATGAAATCACTGGAGTTAAACTTTATAAATTCTAAAAAACAGTAGGCGAGTGGATTAATCAATATTAATAATTTTATAAACTTAGTTTAAATTAATTAATTGTTATTTATTTTGTTATGATTGATACCTTCTTCAATATATCTCAAAGATTCTATTTTATTTAATACAATACAATATATATACTAATTTGATTAAATAATATCAAACTAGTATATATTAAATTAAGATTCCTTAATAAATTTTCTCATTTAAGCAATTTATACATTATCCTCTTTTACAGCACTCTATTTAATAAAGTATATAATCTATCCATTTTTGTCTAATATTTTAAGTATAAATGGAAGGTAAATTACGAAAAAGTGCTTATTGCAATATAATTTCATCTAAATGATCCTTCATTTTATTAATAATAATATTAGATTTTTCTAAATTTTTTTTGAATTTAGAGATCTTTCAATAAAAATAATCCAAATTAATTATTAATTACATAAATCAATCTTTCCATCAATTTATGAAAAATATAATTGAGTCTATCTTCTGAGAAACGTACAATTATCTTTTGATAAGATGTGTACATTAACTATCAATAGTAAGTGGAATAATGTTATTTTTAATACTATTCTCAACCATTTATTCTTATTATTAGAGATCAATGAAACTAAAGACTAAATAGAATTAGTTCCTTTTTATCACAAGCAATATCAGCAAGACGATTACCGATCTAATTATATAAATATACTGTTTATAAGATATATAATCTTTAATGTGTAGCATAACTTTGACTAAGACTAACAAACATGTAATTGGCATATGGATGAATCATCAAATCTAGAGGATGAGATCCAATATCTTATAACATTTGATCTAATTCCTTTTAAGTACAAGTTTTGAAATGTTTTTAAATCAATCTACTACCATGATAAGTTTTTACAAAATTTACAACTTTACTTCTAATCTATTCAAGATTCTAAAAATCTTCAGTCCATTCTTCTATTGGAGTTTCTTCAAGTTGAAAATTTAATAAGTAATTCTTGTTTGGATTGGACCTATTTGAGTTAATTTAGTTGGGAGTATTATTTGAAGTGATTTAATAGATAGTTAAATAATATCTTCTTCTAGTTACATTGAGATGCACACTCCACAAGATTCTAATGAAAATTAAGCACCAATAGTTGATTATTCTGCATTGTAATAGAATTCATAAGTGTGAGCATCTTTACCTTTTTAAATTAAATTAGCATCTATAATATACAGTTGAACTTGAATGCGTTCTTAGAGAAATGGTATAATGTATTTTAGACACTTGCCATAATACTACTTTAGATTAGCATAATCTATTAAGATGGATGTATTTTTCTTTAATTTAAGAGTAGTGGAATGAGTTAAATGTAAGAATGGTTTTTGAGCAATGATGTGAAAAACTTGAAACTCTACAAATGCTTTAATATTGAGGTCGAGTAGATCGTAGTCTACAGGAATACATTTAACAAATTTAGTCAATTTGATGTTTTCATGCAAAATAACTAATGATGTTAACTATTATTTTTACATAAGTGCACATTGAGTATGGACATCAAAATAGATGGATAGATGATTTGAGTATAATTGAGTATTGCCTAGTTTCATATATTGATAACAAATTGGACATATGGAATTATCGTTTTAGCTCTTTCCTATTATTTCATAATCTTCATCGACAACTAAGAATATTATGTAGAAAACTTAAGGATTCTTATAATGTACAATTTCACTTCCTTGAATTGAAATCATGAGTAGGTTCAGTTTCTTTTTGAACATACTTAAATAATATCTCTTTATATTCTCTGATAGGAAATTGTTCGTTCAAATCAAATAATGGATAAATATCATCTAACATGAAACAAAGTGTTGTCTCAAGTATTTTAAAATAATAAAATTGCCAATTGCATTATAGATTCTAAATTTAATTACACTTAGTGGGGGTTGTAGGATTTATATAATCTTTTAGTGGGGAGTATAGATGCCCCACTTTACCAATTAATTCATTCTTTTTTTAATCAACCAAAAACATAGCGCGCTTCATTCTAGAATGGACATTTATTAAAATGAAAAATTGCACTCTCCTCAAACAATTAGAACTAAGTACTCAGACTCACATCTTAGATATTATTCATAAGACTTCATCTAAACATCATCTATCTGACTTATAAACTCAATAGATATAATAGTATTACAAACAACAACCTTCCATAAACACATTTCTAGAATTGTATTCCCAAAGTTTATTACGTTGTGATTGTGTCAAATACTAATAAATTGTAGATGAAATCAATGATCAAATTCATGCCTACTTCTAGACTCAAACTACTTTGATCTAAAAGATAATTGCATAAGAAAGGAAATCATAATCTGAACCAGAACCTATGTAAATAGAAGATGATGAAGAATAGATTAATAACAATAATAATCCAGATGATCCAATATAATAAGATGATCCTCAATTATAATAACCATCACAATAAACTAATATCCCTTGTTCCTAATAATAACCTATTAATACATAATAAACAACTTAACCATCCCAAACTATTGAGGATGAAATTTGTATACCAAATTCTGTTAAATTAAAGTATAGAAGAATAAATACAGGACCATCTGAAAAAGAAGCCAAATGTGAATATTGTGTATGTCAAGGCAAACCTCCAACAGAATAAGAAAATCTAATTTAATGTCTATTATGTTTGAATTACTTACATTTTGCATGTATTGCTAAATCTAAAGAATCATTTGATAAATGTTACAAAGACTTAGAATTTGTATGTCCTCCTTGTGTACTTAAATATATGGATCATTTTAACAAAATATAGAGTTCTTTAGTACCACCTTCTCCTTTTCAATAAGTTGGTTAAATAAATCATAAAGCATTCAATTTTGCATGTGATAAAAGTATAATTAATATCAGATGTGTAAGACAAGAGAATAAAACTAATTGTGAAGAAATCACTTGGCCTGATATTGGAGAATTATTTTTAAATTAAAAGAAAATCTAAGATTTCAAACCACTCATTAATAATCATAGTCTCAAAAAAAGAAAAGATGATCATATACTTACTACTGAAGTATTACCATAAAATTGTTTATAAATCAAAGAATGTATACCTACTCCTGATTAAAGAGGTCAATATCGTATAACTTTAGGTCATTTATATTTTCTAGGTGTATATTCAATAGAATAATTCAATTCAAAATAATTATTGGATAATATCTTCAATTAAAGTGAAAATTGGATGAATATTGAATAAAGCTAAGATTTCATATCTCTTTATATGAATAAACTTTAAGCTGATGATATCAAAGTAGATAGTATTACTGTTTAATTAACATGTGCAATAACATTTAATTTAATGAATACACCTATAAGAGGATCTTTTTGTTAACATATATAATGTTTTGGATTGGAAAACTATATTACAGCAATGTATTCTATGTAACCTAGAAAATGGAGATGTCCCATATGTAAAAAGAAACTATTTACTATTTAAATTGATTCATATCAATATGCAATCTTAAACACAATCAAAAAATATGAAATATAAGTTAATGAAATCACTTTCGACAATAATGGATAAATAGTTAATGAAAATATTCAAAAATTACTAAATTTAGATAATCTACCTATTTATGCAATTAAAAATAATAATCGTATGATTAATTTAGAGATGTTATCAAATGAAACCAATAATATCTTTTATAAATTGTAAATAGTCAAAACTAAAGAGTCTGTTAATACATCACCATATTCAAACACTTTATAAAATGTAATAAATAATATGATGTTATCATCTAATCAACATCTAAGGAGCAATAGTTATGCAAACTTCTATGCTAATAATTATTATATAAATCAAATGAAATTACAATAATAAGCAAGAATGGAAGAATAATAAAAACTTCAATAAAACAAATCAAAAATAGGATAAAATCATGACTCAGCCATTATTATAGAATGAATATATATTTATATATATATATGTTTTATTTAATCAAATTAATTTTTATTCAATCTTCTAAGAATGTAATAGCTGCTGCATAACTAACTGAAGAATCCTTCTTATCTCTAACTAAACAAGATTATGCATATCTAATAAATTTAGTTTCCATCATATGTGTATTTTAACTCATTGCTATACACTTTCAATATAAATTATATACAAATACATGTAATAATATGGCAATACAATGTTTTCCACATATATTATTCTCATATTCTCTTAAATAATCATTAAATTTATCCAAATCATGTAATTCAATATGTTCCATAGCTTTCTAATCTAATTTTTCAATTGATTCAAAGATTTCTCCATCTGCACTATTAAAATAAGTATAAGCAAATTTAGTTCCCCAATGACAGAAATCAGTTGATATAATAAATAAAGTATCATCCATATCAAAATATTCACTTAACAATCTACCATAATACTCTTCAGATTTAGCATCAATTGATCCAACCATAATTGGAATTATAGTAAAATTATCAGTACCCAAAATATGAGCTAAAAATGGCAATTACATTTCAATTGAATGTTCTTCCTCTTCTGCATCTTTGTCTGATTATTCAAATAATCCTTATTCATGTAATTATTTAACAGCTAATAATATGATCATTAATTACATACTTTCTAGATCTACTTTAATATTTCCTAATGGAGTTTCATAGATTTCTTATCTAGTTAAACAACATTAAGTTATATAAACATAATGACAAGGACCAAGAATAAATACTTTTAATTTTTCAGAAGGAGGATATTTCTTTAAATATTTGTAACTGAATGCAGCAGTTGGACCAGAATAAGCATAACCTGCATGACTTAATTTAATTATAAATATATTACGGAACAACTAATGCTTTCAATTATGCAACTGTAGTTACTTCTGCTTTTGCTTATTCTAACCAACAATTAATCTGTATTTTTAATTCATTACTTTTGCTAGAATACCATGATCCTGCATGAACAGCTTCTCTCACATTATATTTATTATTTAACATATGAACATATGGGATTTACTATAATTATTACTCAGTCTTATCCTCTTATTATATAATTTGACTATTCTATTGTTCTTCTTCTTTTTATTATAACTATTAGGATTCTTCTTCTGATTATTTAGACATAATTAATAATTATCAATATGTCTAAAGAATAAGAATTACAAACTAAAATTAAAAAGTTTAGAAGATGATATACAAAATAGACATAGACAAATAGTAACACTTGCAGATAAAGTTGAAGAATTACAAAGATTAATCTAAAATAATTAAATGAGTTTACTTACTTAAAGAAAGAATTATATGTAAGAAAATACTTCAACTCATTCATAAGAAAATAGATCATCAAGTCAAAATCAAATAACACAACTTTCAATTAAATTGCAAAAACAGGAGATACATCATTTAAACGAGTTATTCTTATGAGTGGACAAAAAAAACTGCTCATTCAATTTCTTAAGAAAATACTAATTCTAAATAATCTAATAAAACACTCAATGAAATATAAGAACTTGATGAAAGCTAATAATAAAAATCAATCTTCATAATAGAATTAAGATGAACAAATAGTATAAGACTAACCTATATAATAAAACTAAGAATACAAGGAAGAACAAATTATTTAGGATTAAAAAAATAATGAAGAGGTTGAAGATTTTATTGAAGATTATAATTATTTTAATTGATATTTATTAAATTATCATATTAAGATTATTTATAATATTCCTATAATAAAAAAATTAGTATATTAATTAATGAATGTTTAATTAATTTATCATTCTTTTATTATTTTTATTAATGCCAAAATAATAAAAAGATACTTTATTCTATCAAGAAATAATATAAAAGATTTATTTAATTATAAATAATAACAGAATCATATCGTATTCAACTTTATTTTTTTTTTTATTCTTATGGATAAATTATAGGTCCCTCAAGAAGTTGTTGAATTTCCGTTATTACTTCTTCGTCAACAACCTCATTATTATTTTCCTTTTTATACATCAAACTAATAATATTTTATTTATTAAAATTGATTGCTCTTTTAGATTGATATTTATGTTGTTTCTTTAGTACAACTTCTTTCAATAATTCAAATATATTATCTCTGATTTTATCATCATTCCATTAGATTTTTAGTATTTAAAGTAAATTTAGAGCAATCTCTAAGAAACTATATTTTCCATAATGTTTATTTTAAAAGTACTTAACATTTTCCGAAATCTCAGAATTATTATTATTTCTAAGTAAATTTAAAAAATTTTATAATTGTTTATTTTCATATTTGATCTCTTTTTTTATTTTTTTGTTCTCTGTTTCTGTTTTTGTAAAGTCTAGAAGATTAATCCAATTTTTTGACAACTAAAAATAGCATTCTTTCAATTTTTATTTGCATATTTTTTTTTCTTACAAAATTAATTAACTCGCAATTATATTGTAAATATTAGTTAAGAATCTTTTAGGTTTAAATTTATTAACATCATAAAACTTTTTCTTCTTAAATTATTCAAAGTTCTTTTCTATTTTCTTAGTGTCCTTTTGATTATACTCTTAGGAATCAATCTCTTATTTAACATTTTTAATATACATTATTACTTAATCAATTTAATCTATTTAATCTAGTTAATTTAATTATTTTTATTTCAAGAAATTATATAAAACTTACAAAACCTTGATTGTGTGATCAAATTCGATCAATTTTTAATTTTTTAAATTTTCTCCTAAGAGATAAATCAGAATTTTTTTACCAGGTTATTCTTTTTATTAATTCTCAACAACATTCAAGCTTTAGTTTAGTAGCGGAACTGTTGACTGAAGTTCAACTTTTTTATTATGTTAATTTATATTTGATTCTTTTTCTGGGTATAAACTATCCTAATTCTATAAACAATTTAAAAAACTATTTGAATTCTAATTACTAATAATTTCATTCTCAACCTCAATGTAATTTTTAATTTTTAATTATTATGAATCACAATTTAAATCATTTGGATCATTTTGACTGAGACTATCAAAAGTGTCTTAACCCTTTATCTCCCTCATATTATTTTTTTTAACTTTAATGTTATTATAATATTAATAATATTAAAGTTTTCAACATGCTTATAAACCTTTTTAAAATCCCAAGAAAATTTATAATTATAATAAATATATATTAAAATTTATAATAATGCGTAATTATTTAATATTTCTATCAAATTCATTTAGAAATACAAAATAAAATACCTAACCATTTATTTTTCATCTAATAACTCTTTCGCTGCATTATCAATCATAAACAATAGAAATTGATCCAGTTTATAAACATCAACACTTTCAAACAATGAATTTTCTGATAACATATACTAAGAATTTAAATAAATTAATTACCAACTATCAGTTCCGATGATTCAATCATGAGGAATATCAGAAACATTACTGAAAACAAATGATGTTTTTTTCTTTTCAATAATCGTTCCATCTATCTTGGTCACTTATTCAAAAAATGCTTTGAGAATCAAAAATCATTAACAATGAAGCCTAGTACACAAGAATATTATATATTGATTAATAAGAAAATGAAATTCCATTATATTAAACACTTGCTTGAATAAAATCAGCAAATTGAGTAACATAGTTATATAAATATCAATTGAATGATTATATTAAATTTTAAAATCTGAGAATTCACATATGAACAATCAAATACTTCTAGCACCACTTATAACAATATGAGAAGTAGTTATATTGTAAAATTTTAAATGTTTTGATAAATCGATATTTGATATTAATAATATGTATGATAATAAACTCAATTAAATATTATTCTTTTCCAACCAATAATTATCTCATCCTTGTCCCAAGACTCATTAAATTTATCTTCTTATCTGAATAATGTTAAAATTGCAATAAATACCCAACTCTAATATAAGTAACAAAGTAATTGCCATCTTTGCATTCTACTTTAACTCTTCTAGCATATGTTTCTGTAATCCAACCAGCATCTTCATAGTTTTATTCAGCTAAATCAATATATCCATCTCCAACTCCTACAACTACAGCTACATGACCCCAAGGTTAATGTTCACTTTATGGAGCTAATAATAAATCACCAAATTTTGGTGGTCTATTATTTAAATTCTAAAATTTACTCATTTCCTCCTTATTTAAATCCAACAAATGGAAATGTACCAGATTCTTTTGTTAAATCTTCAACAGTTTCTAAATCCCAAATATCTGGTGCTTTTTATACATCTGTAAACATGGTTTTATAATTCAAAACAAAAAACCTTCTTGCAAATTCAACACATTAATATCTATATATATATATATTTATTTTACTTATATCCCATAAAAATATCACATCTCAATCCAGATTCTTCTTTTTTATAATGAACCTCATAAAGGTGAGGTTTTGTAAAATCATAATTAGGTTCACTATTTGAATACCCTATTACACCACCATGTGCCACACCTATTTAAGAACCCCAGGGAGGATGTTATTTATTCATAGACTTATATAGAAATTCTATTTTCTTAAAATATTTATACATTATTAAAGAATAGTGATTTAGATTTAGAATTAGAATTAGAATTAAGCATTAAGTAAGAATATTTAAATTCCCTATCTGGAATAAATTCAATAATAAAAGATTATGTTTGTTGAATGATGTTATTAATAATTTATATAAAACTCTTATTGAATTTACTGTTCATGCTAAAATAATTGAAGAGATGTTGTTTTAGATCTAAATCACTACCAAGAGGAATTCCTTTGCTTGTTCATAAGTTTATTAATACCCGAGGACGTTATGTTCGTAGAAATGCAATCAAGGCTTTTGCATCTGGACCTTTAGAACCTCCAACAACTATTTCCCGTCGAAAATCTTGTGAGGGAGATGAATTTGGATACTTTCGATCCAGTAAGGAATGGATGCAGTTAGTTAAAATTGATAATCCTCAACATCGGAATTAGAATTTAGCCAGGATTGTATTTTTAAGACTTAAACACGGGAATTCACAAAGTCAATCAAAGCGCATTCTTTCTTTAAAAAAGTGTAAGAATATTAATAAATATATGATTAGGCTTCAAAGACTAAGTAAATTTGCTGCGTATATTATCAACATTTAAACCAAAAGTAACAGTTTAATAAATTGATCTTGTCAACCAATCAAAGAAAGTTAATATGCCACTTTTACCATCTCCAAAGGCTAAAGTGCATACAAAATTATTCCCCTTTAATAAATCAATTACAATTGATCAACCTCTCTTTCCAAAAAAGATACATAGAAATTGGAGCTAACTGGAGATGATGTCCCCTTAAAAGACAATAACATAACCAGCTTCCAATTATGTAAGTCCAAGGAAGTTCAAAAAATCAATAATGAACATATACGGAATTTCAAATACTATGCACCTTATAAAGTACTGATTTAATTTCAATTAAAAAATATAAATGTCAAATTGATTTATAAACCATAAAAATCAGAACAAAATAGCTACAAATCAAATCAAAATTACAGGTTATATGAATATATCAATATTTTCCCTTCAATTTCAATATGTCAATCATTTAAGTTGTTCTTCCTTTACTAAGATTTTCTCTTTTTTATTATAGTAGATAATAATTAAAGTGATAAAGTTTTCTAAAACATACCATTAAATCATTTATTTATTTATAATACAAAAAATGTCAATTACATTTATCTAAGAGAATTATATATTGTTAATAGTTTTTTAACAATTTGAATAGTAAATAGTTACTAGATATAGAATTACATTGTATGATTATTTAAGGATTAGTTTAGTCTAAGATTTCTGATAGTAAATTAGAGTATATATCATCTTTTATTTAATAATTCTAGTTTATTTGAAAATATTAGAAATGCTATAAAATAAAATGAAAATTGTGCTTTATAACATAAATATAATATTTAATTCATGGATTTTCAATGAACAAATTTATAGTATATAATAAGAATATTTCCAATTGTTAATATGCAAACCAAAGTCATTAATATTCCTTTATTGTATGATTCCCTATTTTTAATCATAGTTGCATGTCTCTAAGTCATTTTTACTCCACTTTAAATCTCTTTAGTCTAAATTAGTAACTTATATTACATCTTCAATAGCTTTTAATAATTTTTCTTTTTAACTACGAAGATTATCTAGAATGCTTATTTAAGTGTCTTCTGCTTCAAGTAATCGTGAATCAAGATGATTTAATTACTTAACTTATGAGTGTAGATCAGAATTTAATCCACTAATCTAAGATGGCTATGTTTTTTTGATAACGTTGCTAAAATGTGATTATGGTTGTTTATCAATATCTGATTATAGATCTCTCAATTTCTTTTAACATTCTGTGTAAAGCATCTTATTTTATCTAAATTTTTATGCAAATTCCTGTTTATTTTACTCATTAAAGGAACTGTATTCAATTTCCATAAATTTGAACTATAGAAGTGATTGATTATTTCGATTACTTATTATTCAGCTTAAACATGTGTAAGTTTCATCTTTTCTAATGTAAGTTGTTTACTCTAAGTCATAGAGTATTATTTATAGAGATTGTTAAATTCATCGACTTTCTTATTGAAGTTAATATCATTCTATTGAAACATATTAGAAGCCATTATTTTAATTAATCATATTTTATAGTATATCAAAAGTATATTCCCTAATGTCAACACTCCAATCAATCCTAATTTCAATACTTTACTAAAGAGCTCTCTATTTTACATTATTCTAACATATCTACCTGTCTCTTTTACATCTGATCTAATTATATTTGTCTTAATAATTTTAATATATTATAATACATCTTCTTAAGCTATCAATAATTTCTCTTTCTATTTTTTAAGATCAACCATAATTCCATCTTATAATTCAACTGTATTTGTTAATGTTTTATCGTAATTCTCTAATTAATTTATTTATGTTTCTAATTGATTTGTATGATTTTCTATTCTCTTTCTAATATCTAAATTAAATGATGGTTGAGTCTATTCAACAGATTTTGATTATTCAATAGATTTCAATTTCTATTAAGAATTTGCATAATTCATTTAATGCTACTTCATTTTTGGTGTTAATTCAGCCTTCAATGTTGATTCACATGATTTGAATTCAATTTACATAAATTTTAACTTAAAACATAGATATCCATCCATACTTTTTATTCTGCTTATTGTAATTTAGATTTCAACTTCTCCAAAGTACTCACTTTAGATTATGTAAGTGAATATTATTGATAGGCAGTGTTAAATTCATCCATTAATCTTAAATAGGCAATCTCATTTTATTGAAATATTACTTATGACATTATAAATAATAACAAATTAACATAAACAATTCAAAGATTCTTTGAGATTCTCATTGTTTTCTATCTTTTCAAACTCACTCTAATAAGAGATTATTTTTCTTAATTTAATTGATTAGTATCCTCATCTAAAAAGATAAATGAGCTCTACTCTAAAATTGAATTTACAAATCTTTCAACATCAGAATGAATAAAGAATTAATTTTTTACTTACATAGCAAATATATCATTATTCAATTTGAAAATTCTCTATCTAAAATTAACAATATCAACAGAATCTCTTGCATATCTTAATTATAATTTAACATTTTTCAATTCTAATCTAAATTTCTTTATTTCTCTCTATTCTCTAATATGAGATCTATAACGATCCCTCATTAATAAAGTAATAAATTAATTCTAAAAATAAGCTTGATATCCTTTTTCATATAAATATTTGATCCAAGTAATAAATCTCTTATCCATTTTTTATAATGATGGAATAGAATGTATCTTTAAAGTATATTAATCCCATTTTTAAATCATCTTAGTTTTATAATCTCTAACATTCTTTACAAATTGATGAAGATTTACTTTTATTAATTATAACTTTCCACTTGTAATCATAGCTTTCTTTTTAAACATAAACAATAATGCTCTCTACTTTAATAATGGTAATACAGAAACCAAACTATTATGAATTAATCTTCTTCTTGATTATTTACAATACATCATTAAAGACATTACAGTATCTCCTATTACTCTATGTTGAATATCTCCTCTCTATTTCTATCTATTCTCTCTAAATGTCTTGATTCTTAACTATAAACCTATAACCATCATCTTATTTTTCATCAATTATTTTCTTCTTTGTTATAATATTCTTTAAAGTGTGTCTACAAGTTTAATATAATAAAGTAATTCAAACCATAAATATTTTTATTCTCTTCTTTTGTCTCTGTTTCTTAATGCTTAAGTAATCAATTTATATTCATCATGTGCCCATTCTTTAGCCTTAAATTCAAGGTTCTTTATTTAATTTGCTTCCTATACTGATTTCTTTTGTAAATTTCTTGTTTTAAGTACTTACAAAAAACGATCTGATCGACTAACTTCCATCTCAAATTTATTCACCTTCTTAAATGCTAATACTTTATTTGAATTAACTATGAATTAAGGTGTCTTTGGTATCTCATCACTCATAGGAATTCTTTCATGATTACTTGTCATACGAACCAATTTTCGAAAAGAATCTGCTTATCCAAAATGAACCAAAAATTTAATCTCTGTTTATTTTCTTGCAACTACTGCTAAATGTAATTTATCTTCTCCATTATGTCTTACTGCCCATTATCTACTTCTAATAACTTAATCACAATTGAATTTAGTTGGAAAAGGTGAATTAAATGAAATCATTATCTAAAACTCACCATCACAAAACATAGTACAATTCAAAGGGGATTTCTATCCTCTAGTCCCAATATTACAATAATAAAATTCCATAGGAGCTACCTTATAAACTTTGCCTGATATTATTGTTCCTCCCAATTAACATTCACATTAAATACATGGCTCTGTTGTCGCTTACTTTACTATCTAACGCACACTCTTTAATTCTTCCACACTCTCCAATATATTCCAAGTTCTCTAAAATCGTTCACTAGTTTCCTCTAAAATCCTTGATTGATCAATCAAACCAGAACCACAAGTCTATGATCTATAATGAGAAATGGAAGGAGAACTTATTTGATGACTTGGACTTATTATAGATTTTTTCATTATTAAAGATTACAATAATTAATAAAAACTAATTCAAATAGAGTAATAGTTTCATTTATATCTTAATGATAAAAGTTACGATTGAATATCTAATCAAGTTCAAATTTATGTATTATAAAAATTAAGTTCTATTTAAAAATGCTTTCAGTTTTCAGTGTAAAAATAAATTATTTAATTAAGATTGTAATAATTTATAATCATATGAAAAATTATTATATAGAGAATATTATTTATTTAAATAAAAAGCTTTATATTAATATAATCTATATATAAATAGGATTAATAGAATTACCTCAAATTGTTAGATATAAATGAATTATTTCTAACAATCTCAAAATTAATTACTATTTTGTTATTTGTATATCTAAAATTATTAAAATAATGTAAAAATTATTTAATAAAGAAAATTTCTTATGATGGAAAATTTTTTTTTTTTTTAATGCACTTATTTATTGATTTGTAAATAATCTTTTCAAGGCCCTTAGTTTTACCAATTTGTTCCTGTCATTTAGTTAGGTTATTGTTCTCCAGTATGACCACCATTGAGCATATGAGTTAGGATTTCTTTAGTATACTTAAAGGAAGTAAATTATTATAATTACTTTAAGTCTTTTGGCCATTTCTGTATTTTAACTATCAAGAGCAGTTGCTAAAGGATAATGACTTCTTTCTCCTGCTTTGTTTACATAAGTTACCATCTTATGTTCTGATGATAAAATAATTTCAGTTTTGTCTGTAAAATTAACCTAAGTATATTAATAATAATTTACTTAGACAATTTTATTGGATAATCTAAACATAATAGCATGTCTTGTTTTCATCCATTTTTTAACATATACTACTTATTTATTGTCATATTCTTCCACTGCCATATCCTAATTATTTTACTCACCTTCAAGATAATTTCTAAAATGTTCAAGTAAAAAAACTTTCTTTTAGAGTTCTCTAGGATGATTATCATTTAAATTATGAGATTCACAAATATCTTATTTATCAGTTCCTTTTCTTTCCATGTATTCAAATGTTAATGATTTTGTATCTAATATAATTTTAGTAGAATCATTAAAAAAGACTCCTGTAGCACCATTACTTAATAGATATCCCAATCCATATTTGCTGGAATAATCAACCCATTTTTTAACATAGATTTCTTATTTTTATTATGTTTATCTTTATCCAAGATTATTAACTGAATGAACACCTTACATTCCAGTACCACCAAAATGAGTAGTAAGGGTCTTTTAACTTTAACTATTTCTAATGTCATTTGGTTTTTAGGATTAAGGTCTTTAGGATCCTCCATAACCTACATTTTATGCATTATTTAAACCACTGGATCCAAAATTATCTTCTAAAATATTTCCACTTGAACTAGGTTTTTATACTTAAATGATAAATAATAAATGAATACATGGGAAACGATCAGATGAACCATTACCAGGTTTCTATTGATTTTTCTAATTGTTTGGAGTAGTTTCAGTTAATCTTTATGGCATAGCATTTACTGACATTTTGAGACTACTTGAATTTGTAGAAGGTTAAAATTATTTATTATAAGATGCTGAAGGAGGACAAGCAAGAGTAGATAAAGGTAGTGTTTTTGGAATAGAACCACCTGTATTCATAAATGGATGAGACATGATTTCATCTAATGTAGGTCTTTTAACTGGATCTAAATTAAGAATTCTAGTAATGATATTTTTGGCTGCATCAGATATAAGAACATGTTCTGGAAAAGTATATGAATTCAATCTGATTTTTCGATATGTAGTTTTTACATCTGGTGTTTCAAAAGGTGGTTTTCCAATTAACATAGCATATATTATAACTCCCAATGACCATACATCAACTTCAAAAGAATGACCAACTTTTCCATCCAAAACTTCAGGAGCAATATAATTAGGTGTTCCACAAATAGTTCTTTTCTTTTCTCCATCAAATTCTAATTTAGTTGCTAAACCAAAATCTCCCAGTTTCAATTCCATTGATTTATTTAGAAATAAATTTCCTAATTTTAGACTTAAATTATAAATGGATATACTCTCTATGAATTACATTACTAGCATGTAAATATTTTAATGAGTTAATTATTTATGCAACATAACATTATACTTCTATTTCTGTAAGTCTTTTACGTCGTTTTATTAATTCATTTAAAGTCTAAATTTAAATATATGATAATTACTTGATTAGAACATAATTCTAATAGAATATATACATTTTCATGATCTTCAAACACATGTTCAAATTAGACTATATTTGTATTTTGCAAACTTTTATGTATTTTTATTTCTGAAATAAGCTAATTGATTCCATCTTATAATTACCTTTTAACGAGCTCTATTCTTAGTTAAACTACTTTTAGCAATTATCTTGGCTGCTTAAACTTTCTTGGTCTCTAAATTTGTTGCTTCATAACATTTAGCAAAACCACCCTTTCCTAAAAACTTGCCTCTTTAATATCTTTTAATTGTCACTTCTCCATTTACTTTAGTTATTTTTTCTTCAAAGATCACTACTTACTCAGAACTATATTAATTAATTATATATAACCTCTCTGCTGTATTCTTCTCGTCCATTATTTTTAAACTATTTAAATTATTATCTGATTTTTATATATTATGGATATACCTACATACCCCGATTCTATCTTTAATATTAAGAGACATTACAATTGTGATAAAAATAAGAAAAAGTGTAAACCTTAAGAAAGTGATGATGATACTATTCAATAGTAAATCAAATATTTAATCAATGATCTTTAGAAGTGTTTGAAAAGAGAATCCAGAAAAATTAAAAAAAAGTGAACTATAAATCTATTATTATTTTAAAAATGCATTAATATCAAGAAGCTTTACTTAAAAATACATGTATTCTTCTATATTTTAATTAGTGAGAGGAGAGGACATTATAGTAAATCTCTAAATTTACAATTCAACAGCTCAATAAGATAGATAGCAATTTCTTAAAGCATTATAAGAATTAGCAAATGAAAAAAATACAAAAATTGATGATTAAACTCGTATTTTACAATTAAGATTACCAGGTACAACAACAATAGCTAATATTAAATCAGATTTAGAAAAATATAGCAATTAAAAAATTGTAAATCTAATATATTAGACAATCCTAGATTTTAATGTGTGAATCAATGGTTCCAAATCCTTTAGATGTCATAGGAGATATTAAATGTACTACTCAAAAACAAGAAGTTAATTTATAATTGTGTTCTTAAGTAATTGCAGGATGATTATGATTTATAATTCATAATAATTTATTTACAACTATTTTCAATTATTTCTATTTTTTATTCCATTTAGCTGAAGGATGTTCATTATCTACTTAACATCCAAAATCTAATTCTATCTTTTCATCCATAACAGTTGTTAATTTCAATCCTTAACTTGAAATATTAAGATCAATATCTTAAAAACTTTCTACATTAACATTTATAGTTATTATTATTTTATCTTTTTCATGAACAATTGTATATTTTTCTATATCATTTTTAGTATCAATTTCTTCAATTAAAACTTTGTTAGGTACTTTTTTCTAATTTTAATTTTGATTATTTATTATTAAATCATTAAATGAATCATTTTATCTAGTGAAACTTAGATTTTATTATATATTTTCAATTGGATTTTAAACTTAAGGAGTTCTTCTTCCTTCTTTATCTGCTTAAGGCTCTAAAAGTATTTTAAGTTGTTTTTTAGATCCACAATATTTATATTATTTATTAATAATTTTAAGAGAGGGAATTTCAAATTTATAGAATGCTTTAAAGTATACAAATTTAATAGGATTTTTATCTAATTCTATTCTTTTTTATAATGTATCAATAATTATTGATTATAAAATTTATCGATTTATCTAATATAATATTTAATATATATAAATACTTTCTTAAAAACATCTGTATTAATAACAATATCATAATAATAAACATTTGTATTAAATGAAGTTGATTTACCAATTTATACATCAGAAATAGAAAGAGGTATTAAATTATATTATGATGGATTATCTGTTGGATTATCATTTTTATCAAATGCTCCTAATACTCTTTCATGATGTAAAAGATTAATATAAAATTTAATTCTTTTTTCTAATTTATCAAATTGAAAATTTTCTTATTTAAGTTCATTTTATTTTAATAATAGTTTGCTTTCTAATTCATTGATTGATTATTTAAGTAGATTACCCCATATTTTCATAGAATAAGCAAATTATGGTATAATAGATAATTCTTCTATTTTTTATTGTTTTTCAATTTTCATTTCTTGCATTCCTTCTTTAATGTTTTTTTCAACAAATTATTTATAAGCCTATGGATCAGATGTAGCCATATCATCTAACATCTTCCAAATATGTTAAGCTTAAGATTAATCCATTTATTATTTTTTTATTATTATTAAATGGTTGATCACATCTCGAAACAATATAAAACAATTACAATTTGTCATCCAAACTATCAACCATTTTAGGTAATGATAAATGAATATTCTACAATAAAAGAAATATCAAGATAGATTCGTTTAGCATGGAGAATAAGTCCAAAAGAGTTACGATTATTTAATGCAAGTGGAATTGAAATATTTTAAGAAGATTTAAGATTTTAACCTAAATAATCAAAATTATGGGCAACATTGAATGGATAAGAACTTGATTAAAATATTATCTTTTAAGAATATACAATTCTAGATTAAATTGGATAAGGAGGATAAGGTGTTGTAATGTTAGGATAACATAAAGAAACAAAAGTATATGTAGCAATTAAGATAATAAAAGGAGATGGATTTAATGCAGATGAAATAGATTTATTGTTTAGAGAATCATAAATACTAAAATAATTAAGTCATAGAAACATTGTTCATTTAATTCAAAATATTATGTTAAATCATGAATGTATATTAGTAATGGAACATTTATAAGGAGGATCATTATTAGATTTAGTAAGAAGAAAAGGACATCTTGATGAAATTGAAGCTAGAATATATATGAAATAGATATTAGAGGGAATTGATTATTGTCATAAAAAAAATCTAATACATCGAGATTTGAAATTAGAAAATATATTACTAGTTTCTCCAAATAGCAATTAAGTAATTATACTATGCATTATAGATAGATCAAAATTGTAGATTTTGGAATTGCATGTTGTGGAAAAGATAGAATTAGAATGGGTACATTACCATATATGTCACCTGAATTGATATCTGGATAACCAGCATCTTAATTATCTGATGTTTGGGCTATTGGTGTTATATTATATGCAATGGTTTTTGGGAAATTACCATTTAGAGGATCTACAAGAGAAGAAATTATTTAAGCAATTAGTATATTTAAATATACTATTCCTTAGAAGGTGAGTAATGATTTATTAGATTTATTCAAATAAATATTCCAATATCGTAACAGAATAACAATCTAAGGAATTTTAAATCATAGATGGTTGAGTGAAAGTCATGTTATTCCTGCATTAAGTTTATTAAAAATGTTATAGGTGTCTACTCCTCTTAAAGTAACAACCAAAAAACCAAAATCAACTATACAATAAAGTTGTAGAAAGACTTCTATATAAAAAGAAGAATCCCAAACAAATATTGGAAATGTAACTGCTAAGCCTATCAAAATAGTATTAAAGTAAAGATCAGGAAGAGCAAAAAGTTAATTATTATTGAGTAATTGACTACTAAATAATTAATAAAAATAAGTATATTTGATTGATAATATAAGACATAATTAAATTAATAATATACTTCACTTATAAATGTTTAATGATTATGATTAACTTTCTAACACCAAAACACTTAATATCACTTTATTAGGTAGTGATCGTAAGTTTTAAGTATCTATTTATGGAGATACTTCACTTAAAGAATTGAGATCATTATGTGAATAGAAACATTAAATAAGTCTTAAACACTTTCGAGTATTTACTTAAGATGGAGTAGAACTGTTTAATGAAGATTTAATTTATCTAAAAGATAATTCTAAATTGTATATTACAAGAGGTGAAGATTTTGATGCAAATATCATACATCAAGAATATGAGATTTTAGAATAATTAGGTAAAGGAGGATTTGGAAAAGTATTATTAGGAAGACACAAAGAAACTCTTAATTTAGTTGCTATTAAATATGTCAATACTAGAAATAGAGATGCTAATGATATTGAATTAGTTTTTCGTGAAGCCTATTTACTGAAATCACTTAATCATAAAAATATAGTCAAATTTTATAATTGTTATCCACTCTCAAATATGTAAGTTATTGTTGTAATGGAATATTTAGAAGGAGGAGATCTCTCTAAATATACTTAAGGTATTTAAATTATTTAATTAAGCTAAGGGTCAATTATGTGAAGAAGAAGCACGTATGTATTTTAGATAAATTTGTGATGCCATGATGTATTGTCATAATCGTAAATTAATACATAGAGATCTCAAACTTGAAAATCTTATGTTTGCTAATAAAAATGACACATTAATTAAAGTTGTAGATTTTGGAATTGCTGGTATGGCTGTCAATAGCAATATGGATAAATTAAATATAGGAACAATTAGATATATGGCACCTGAAACTCTATAAGGAAACAATCAAAAGATTGGTCCACATATTGACGTTTGGGCTATGGGAGTTATACTCTTTCATCTCATCTTTGGTAAGTATCCTTTTGATGGAGAATCTAATTTTGACATCATTCAAAATATTATTACAAGTAATTACACATTTTCCAAAAAAAATGTATCTCCTTATCTAATTGATTTATTATCAAGAATTTTTTTAATTGATCCTCATAAAAGAATTAAACTTTATGATATTCTTAATCATGAATGGATGAAGATTTCATTCGAATAGGAATATTTTGAAATGCCTTAATTTGTACCAAGAACTTAATTTAGATTACCATCAATTGAGAATGCTAAATAAAATGTTAGTAATTAAAAATAAAAGAAACTCAATAGATCATTTACTCCTTTAAAAAAGAATTCACCTAGAAGAAGAAATAGTTTTATAATTAAAGGTGTTTTAAAGAGATACCATTGAAATATTGTTACTTGATTAATAATACTTATGATCAATTCTTTTGTTATTATAAAAATTTAATTTAATAAACTTGAATTATTTTTCAAATTTTCATAATTAAACTTAAGGTTAAGATGCATTATTTGCAGCATTTTTTTATTATTAATCTTTAACATCTTGTTCTCCTTAATTAAATTTATGGATTTTTAGAACTACTTACATTCCTAATATATCTATTGCTAATTGAATGAACCAAATAGCAATTGCAATATTATATTTCAAATACTATAAATAATTATATTAGTTATACATCAAAATCTTATGCTCCAATACCCATTCCAATTAATAATAAAAACATTCCAAAATTCATTGTTGCAATAATTCCTAATGCTGCATAATAAATGTATTTGAAATGTAGTGCTATTATTAATAAATATCCAATCATCATAAAAACATTACCAGCTATTGAAAGACCTTAATAATTATCATAATTTGATTAAGGAGTTAAAGGTTTAGATGCATAAAATGATAATAATACAATGTTTATTGTTAGGTAGCAAATAGTTTCGGCAATCTATTTTATTGTTGGTGTACTAACAATAAACAAAAATTTTATACATTTCAAACATAAATATTGTATCAAAAATAAATATTAATGAAATAAGATATTTTATTTTCTTTTTTATAGTCCATAATATATCATACATATATTGGTGAAAATAATATCATATGTAGATTAAATTTTATTATATATAAAACTTATTTATGTAATGTTATTAGAAGATATTACTATTTTTATAATAATATATATAATATAGTTTATCAAAACTTTGAAAATGTTTTAGATTTTTTTTGAGATTCTGTAAAATTGAGTTTTATTTTTGAAAGTTTCTCTTTTTATTATTAAATTTCAGCTCTCAATTCTTCAATAGTTTTATCAGTTCTATCAATTTAAGGAGATTTATGAGGTGTTCTAATTGATGGACTACTATATTATGGAGGTTTGGAATATGGTTCTATAAATATAATTATCATAAAATACTTTTAGTAGATGATAGATTTTATTACAATATTGGAGAACGATGAAAACCAGAGCTTGATGATAAGGAATGTTAATGCAAAGGAGGAGATTAAGGTCTTTATTAAACTGGTTAGATAATAGTTTCGAGTTGTTATATTTATTATTGATAATCTCTTTAGATTGAATCCATTTTCTTTTCTGATTTATCTTTTAGATCATTATATCTTTATTCAAGGTATTATCTCTCTTTTAATGTGTAATCAGCAGATTATTGAATTTAAATTCTAATATTAATAGATAAATTATTTACAATTCATTTTCTAATTCTTTAATTGTCTATTGTAATTATCTTTATTCATATTCTGTTTTTTTCTATAATTCATTATTAAGTTAATCCTAAAATTAAAGTTTTTAAGATAGATGTTCATTTTCTTAAATATAATAATTCAATTAATTTTTTAGATCATCAACAGATTGATCCTGTTATTGAATTTATTATATTTTTTATTTAAATTTAATTTGAGCTTCTTCATGTATTAATTATTCATTTTATTTGTATTATCGTTTTAATTATTCAATCTTCTTTTCCATATCTTTTTATAATTCAATAACTATAAATTCATTATCTCTTTTTTCTTATTACACACTTTAATCAATTAACTAAAATATTATTACATAATATATACATAATTGAATTTCTTAACTGAACTTTATATTAATTGTTTATTTTCATAATCATAATTTTTTAATTTATTCAAAATGATAGATTTCATTTCAAATAATTATAAATGTAATTATTCTTTTTATTTAATAAACAATCTTTATATCTTTTATTTAATAGATCTATATTTAAATTTTAATTCATCATTTTAGTTAATTAATTATTGTTTCTCTGAATTCAATAAATTTTAATTTTTAATTAAAATTTCATTTAAATTCTTTTCTATAACTTTTTGTTCTTCTAATTATTATAAAGTATTAGTATATTAAGATATATAGGATTCTAATTCTTATACTAAATTATTGTTTTACTTTTCCATTTGTTCAACTTTTTAACTTTTTTATAGTAATTCTTTTTAGATTTAATTATAAGCTCTTATTTATTCTTCATTAAGTAATTTATTTTCTAATTTAAGTTTTTTTAATTAATTTTCAAAGTTTTCAACAATTAATTGATTTTCTTTAATCAGATTTTCTATTTCTTATTTAAATCTTAATTCTTTTTATTAAATTTCATATTAATATTATGTTTATTATTTTAATTAATCATCTAATAATTAATTATGTTCTTCTTTATATAATTTACATCTTTTTTCCAATTCTTATCCTAATCTTTTATATGAAAATGATCCTTAAATTTCTATTTCTAATTAATGTTAAATAGATAAAATAATTTCTTATTATTATTATTTTTCTCTTTCAATTTCACTCATATAATCTTGATTCTCTTTCAAAGTATTTAAAGTTTATTCTGAAAATTATTTCAAATCATCAACATCAGCTAATAATAATTTAAGATTTTAATCTTTTTTATTAATTTCTTATTCAATTATATTATTTTTTTAAATTAACTCTGAATTTTAATTTTATAATTCTTCTACTTAGTTCTTATATGTTATAATAAGTTCTTCAAATTTTTAGTTACTTTTTTATTTTTATTCTTATTCATTTTATATTTATATTTTTAATTATTTTAAATCTTGACTTAATCCTAATATTTCTTTATCTTTTTCAGTAATAATACATTCTAAACTTTATGTTAAATGTTATTATAATTCTATCTTTTCTTATTCTAAATTTTCTTCTAATCTTGAATATTATTTCTTATATTATTATTCTAACATTTTGATTGCTTATCTATGTTAAGTTGATTAAAATTCAATTTATTATTCATATTCTTTAATTTATTCTTATAATTCAGATATATGTTAATCCTTATTTTATAAATCTTTCAATTTCTATTTATATTCTTTAATTTTTATTTCACTTTTTTCTTTTAATTATTCTAAAATTTCCTTTTATTTTTATGCTTCCTATTATTTTTTAATTTTAAGTTATTCAATTTCCAATTTATAATTAGATAACTCACTTTCTTAAAATATTTATTAATCTGTAACTGTTTATAATTTTCTTTAATACTCTTTCAATTATCTATCAGATTCCAATTTTAATGTCTTAAACTACTATTCAAGAATATTATAAGCAGATTATAATTATTCTGACTTTTATTTATATTCTTATCCTTCTAAAGAATTATATCTTGATTAAAGATTAATAGACTATTAATTATCCTTAAATTATTGTAATTCTAAATTTAATTATTAGTTTGTCAAATTTGATTCCTTGATTTATTTATTGAATTTCTCAATAGTTATAAATTGCTTATTATTTATATCTATTTATTCATCATATAATTATTATAGTCTTTTTATCTCTTATAATTGTAAAATCTACTATTCATGCAATCTATGTTCTATATCTATTAATAATTATTATTCTCTATCCTAATATTCTCTTTTAATTCTATCAATAGTTTGAGATTGTTAGCGTAATTCTTGTTAAAGTATAAGTATTTCTTCTGAATAATGTCTTTGGAATGTCTCTAGAGTTATTTCTTTTATTCGATTAAGAATAGCTACTCTATTTTCTCTATCCATTTACTCTCCCAAGACTTATTTAGTTATATCAATTAGACATTCTAATAATAATAATAGGTTTGAACTTACATTCTAATACTTTGGATTATGAAACGTACATATATTTATTCGTTAATTAATAAATGTAATTATTAAAGGAAATTGTAGAAGGTGTACGTAATCCTATTAGTACCATAGAATAATTAAAGAAATCAGTTATTAGAGAGATCAACAAATAACATTATCATACTATCGATTATACACATCGTCGTTCTATTTCTACTTAAGAGGCTCCATTTACTGTAGTTAGTATAAAGAAACCAAAGACACAACTTAATACTATTGAATTGGCTCCCTTAAAGAATAAGACTAGATTTATGCCTAATTCTACATTAGAATTGATTGTCAAATAACAAAAAAACAAGTCACTTCAATTTAAATAGAAAATATATACTCAAGAATATAAAGAGAAGAGTGAATATGTATAAGGGAGAAGGAGATTTAATAAGAATGTTGAATGTCTTAAATAAAATAATTAAAGATTTAGATTAAGTGTAAGTGAACAATCACAATAATTGAACAAACTTCTTGAAAGCAGATTGTCACGTATGTTGAGATATAACAATAACAATCATGATAATTATTTATAATGAGTGGATCTAGTATCTAAGCACAATAGAAGTCCATTCAAATGAAGACAGCCAATCTTCCACCTACATGGGAAGTCTTCTCTACTCTTGATTTCAATAGATAATAAACTATCTATAAGACTATGTGTGAATAGATCTAATAATAAATGAAACAAATCACTGTATTACAAGAAAAGGTTAAATAAAATGAAGTATATTATTCTCTAAATCTAGTTACTTGCATCATAAAAGTTAGAAGATACTTAACATCGTCTATCTGAAGAATAATCTAAATTGAAATAAGAAATTCAAATTCTTTAATCATTATTAGAAAAGAAAGAAAATGAAATCAAATTTCAAAATGACTAATTAGATGAATAAACTAATTATATAAAATAATTAGAGATTGATGTTTAAAAAAGATAAGAATCATAGAAATATGATTAATTAATAGTTGAACTCAAATAATAAATAAAAGAATAACAATTAGCAATATAATCATATGAAAAATCAATATAAGAATTAAAATATACAATAGAAGAATAAGAACAATAATTTGAAGATATTCATAATAAATATAATTAAGAATTAGATGAAAAGGATTTAAAACTTGCAGAATATGAAGTATAATATATATTAAAATTAGAAATAATTAGAATTATAATTAGAAGACAATTAAAAATTACAATAAGGATATTAATCATTAAATGATAGGATTAATTCAAATAAAGACTATTAATAATTTTAATAATAATATAATGAATTATTTAATGAATTTTCTATCATCAAATAATAATATTAGAATAAATGTAATAAAATTAAAGAATAAGAATTAACAATTGAAGATTTAATAGGTGAAAATTCAAGACTTGTTATTGAACTTTATCACTACTAAAAATAATAATGATTTATATAAGTTTAATTAACATAATATCATTTTAATATTTAAATAACATTATCAAGTGTAACTCTTTTATTAGCATCTGAATTAAGTAATTCATCTATTAATTTTTATATGTTCTCAGATATTTTCACATCTTCTTTATAAATTAATTTATTAGATTTTATATTCTAATAAACAATTCTAATATCAGATGCTTCAAATGGATGTACACCAAATAATAATGTATAAAATATGATTCCTAAATACCATAAATCTACTTCAAAAGAATATCCATTTTTATTATCTAATATATCAGGTGCCAAATATTTAGAAGTACCACATATTGACTTTCTTCTCTCTTATTTCTATTCTAATCTAATAGCATAATTGAATCCACCAATTTTTAACTGATAATCCTTACTAATATATATATTGCTTAGCTTTAAACTTTATAAATTTTTATTAATACTCTCTATGTAGTATGTTATTTTCATGTAAATAATTCAGTGCATCTACTATTTAAATAATAAATTATTTGGTTTCACTTTCACTAAACTATCCTTACTCTTATAAATAATCATTTAGAGTCTATTTTCTAATCACATAATTACATATATAAATTCTTCTAGGATAATATAAATGAAATCTTCATCTTCAAAAGTACCATAAAATTTGAGAATGTTTTAATGCTCTATCTACTAATAAATTCTTATCTCTTGTAACACCTACTATACTTTAATCTTCATTACTTATTATCTAAATTTAATCTTATCTATTTTATTCTTTCCTATAACCTTTGCAATAAAAACCTCTTTTGATTCAACATTAATAAATTAATAGAAATCTCCAAATTAAGTTGTACTCACTTTTTAACCTCTTTCAAAATTAATTTCAATTATTTTTCCTTCCTTATTTTTAATACTTCCAACAATATATATTTTATCTCAAATAATTATAAGAATAATATACTTAACTTAGTTCAATTTAGAATCCATAATTTTAATTCTGTTGTTTAGATATATTAATTATTTGATCAATAATTGTTTTCTCCAATAAATTATTTTATTTAAATGTCATATAATTTAAATATATATATATATACCTACTTACTTTTGGAAGTTTAGTATTAATAATAACAACTACATTCATTTAGCAAGAACTACTTTACAACACTAAAAATATTAATCGCTATAAATAATTCCTAAATTTGTAATCATTGAAATATTAATAATATTTAAGAATGTAAACATCAATCATATATTCTACCAATAATTATTTATCAATTCTAGACTAATTAAATTAATAATTTAGAATAAATATTAAAATAATTAATTTTATCATATAATTCTAATGAAAAATGATTAGAATTATATGATTTAATATTTATTCTTAAGTTTATTACTTAGAGTCACAAATCTTAAACAATCATAAAAATTGATTTAATTGGATTCAAAAACAGATCAATGAACATTCATATTCATTTATGACATTAAGACTTATTAATACATTTTAAATAGGTATTTTGTGAATATTTTAATTGATTCATTGTATATCTATATGTATTGTATGTAGATTTTTAGCATAGTTATTTAGTTTAATTAATACAAACTAATAATTAATATGATTAATAATGAATATTCCACTATTTTTGTTGAAATTTGTATGATTACACTAATATGAATTGTAATTATCAAAATTTGTAAATCATTATTACAAATTAAATGTAAGACACATACACATATTAAGTATTCTCTCTATATATTCTTAGATTCTTAAGAAATGCAATGGTAAAGTAATTATGTAGATTGATGAACATCTATTAGACATCATCAATGCTCATCTTACTATTAAACCTCAATAATAATAGACTGAAGTACCATACTCAATTAAGAAATAACATAATTTCTAACGTAGAATTGTGCCATTCTTTATGAATCAATTCATGCATTGGGCTGAAGAAATGGGATATAAATAAGTTGATGGCTATTTAAGAGCTATTCATAAGAAAAAGACTTCAAAGCAATAAAAGTTTGAATTAGGAGACTTGAAAAAACTATTTGGAGCTATAAATCCTAGAACAAAGATCATTCAATTAGAAACATAACACAAATGGATAGAATTCTTAGGAACATAAGCTGAAATTTGTGTGCTTATAAATAACAAAATTAAAGATTAGAATACTAAATAGATGTACATCTAAGCCATTGAATAACTTAAAGAATAGCTACATAAGGAATAACCTTATGATAAATTCTTAAGTCTCTCAAAAAAAGATGAAGTAAAAGAGGAGTCTATTAAAGAAGAATACACAAGTTGTGAAGTTCCCACTGATGAGTATGCACCAACTTATTATCAAGATCCATATTCTTATTTAAGTTGTGCTTACAATAGTGAATTCTGATTTTATTCTCATTTATATTTAACAAATTTATGACATCATATATTACATTTAATATAATATTATAATATATGTTTACAATGTTTAATTAAATGATTTTTAATGGGAGGCATAAAATAAATTAAAAATAAAAACTCTCTATTTATTTCATTTTATGATATCAATATGACATGAATGTTCATAATTGAAAATACATTATTAATATATTTGAGTTATATATAATTATATGTATAATGAATATTCTGAAGTATATATTTATAATAAATGAAGGAAGGATATTATGAATTGAAATTTTGTACAATTTTAAAAGATAATTAAAAATAAAAAGAAATGATTTTTCAAGATCAAATAAAATTCAAAGTAAGAATTCTTGTTTAATAATGAATAATCAATATAATCTTTTATTATTATAGATCTATTTCTAATTGTATTTCTAATTGAATTATTTTCAATATATCTTTAGTTGTTAAACAATTATGCATAATAAATAAATAAAGTTATTTGGTTAATAGATTCATTCTGTATTTTATAACAATTAAAAAATCTTTTCTTTATATATTTTTTCTTATATCTACCATTAATCTTATTTTTCTTATGTTTATTGTTCTAATCTAGTAATTTGATTTCGTAATTGTTCAATAACAGTAGCTTTAGTGTTTTTTTCTAATTCTAATATTTAATTTGATAAATCTTTTATTATCTGATTTTTCTTTTCAATAGTTCTTTCAAATTATTCTTAATTAGAAATTGTAGATTAATTTAAAGCATTATCAGATAATTATTTATATCCTGATTATGTAAGTTAATTTTATTTTTTTAATTATTCTCCACTTTATCTAATGATTCTTTTTAAATGTTAGTGTTCTTCCTAAGCTTTATTATATTTTTCATCTAATTCTTAATATTTTTATTTTAATAATTATAGTTCTTAATTATTAGTATTTGTATTTGCAAAATTAGCTGTGTTATTATTATTATCAAAATTGTTTGTTTTTCTCAATTTAGAATCAATTTTAATATGATTATCTAATTGTTCAATCTATTTCTACAATTCTTCCTCTTATTGAGTAAGCATTTCAGTAATTTCTTTGAAATTATCATTATCTTCATTAGGAGGAATAACCTATTATAATTTTTCTTATGAAAACTTCTCACCAAGTTACAAGAATTTTTAAGTGAGATTATCAGATGGTTATTTAATTGATGTAGTTTATTCTTCTGTTTTAGTTACAAGTACAGCACTCTTAAATTCTTTAGGAGGAGATTAACTCCTTGCTCTAGTTGTTCTATTTGGAAATTCCATTTTACGACTACTAGAATTTCTAGCAGTCTATGGAACCTACTAAGATATTGGAGTATGTGTAGGTACTGGCATTGGTACATTAACTTGAGGATATTCTTAAGATTCAAATTAAGACTGCAAAGGTTGTCTTATGACTCTAAATAATAAGGCAGCTCGTTTGTCAGTTGTAGATGTTAATGGCTTTTTGACTTTTTGATCTTAATCTATTTCACCATTAAGAAAGTATGCCAAATTGATTAGACAATCTCCAAGTTGGTTGCCTCCCATATAAAACAAAAATTTAATCTAAATTAGAATGATTGAATATTACATTATAATCAATATAGACTCCATCTTTATTGACCATTTTTTATTAAAACTCTGCAATTTGATCAATAGGTAATCTACACATATTAGAAGTTCGTTCAGGATTTCTTATTTACATTTTACTTATAATAGTTTATGCAGCTAGTGTTCCTCTCTTTAACATGATTGATAATTCATATTATTATTGATCAAATTTAGAGCTGAACTCTAGATATTGCAGTATGAATTTGAAATGTATTTGTTAATTCATTATAAATTTTAATGAGTGATCACGAAAACTCAAATATTGAAGAAGTCATTACTAAGATTAAAACCCTACCTGTAGCTGAAAGAGTGAAAGCAGTAGCACTCTTTTATCACTTAAAACGCAAACAACAATATGAAGTAGAGTTAGAAGAACAAGTTTAAAAACTCACAATTGAATATGATCACTTGAATCTCCCTCTATATTAGAAAGTAAGAATTTAAATTCTATTTCTTATTATAGTAAAATGAATTAATTCTTGGATAAAGAGCAGCTACAGATATTGAACTATCCAATTCTGATAAATTTTTAAGTGAAGCAGAAAAAGCTATTGTAGCTGAGAATAATATAGCTGAACCAATAGATGATTATTGGTTCAAAGTACTAAAAAATTCAGTTGTAATTGGTAATAAATATTTTAATTATATTTTAGCTGATGTATGTTAAGATAATGAAAAAGATTGGGATGTATTGAAATCACTCTAAAAAGTAGAATTAGATCTTGAAGAAAATAGTCACAATTTCACTATCAAACTCACTTTTGCACCTAATGATTATTTTACTAATACTGTTCTCACAAAGAAATTTATATTTGAAAAAGCAGAAGATACTCCAATTAAAAGTGAATCTACTAATATTGAATGGAAAGAAGGAAAAAATGTTACTCAAAAGAAAGTATCAAAAAAATAAAAGAATAAAAAAACAGGTGCAGCTAGAACTGTTGATAAAGTTGTTGATGCACCTAGTTTCTTTGGATTTTTTAAAGATTTTGATCTTACAAATAAAAAAGATCTTGATGAAGAAGAAGTTGAAAAATAAGAAGATTTAATGAATGAACATTTTGATATTGCAACAGAATTCCTTGATTCTATTATACCATGTTCAATAGAATTATTCTTAGGATTATAACCAGAAATGGCTGAAATAGATGATGATGATGAAAATGATGATGAAGATGATGAGGATGATGATGATGATGAAGATGATAAAAAAAAATCTGTATTCTATTTAACATTATATATCATTAGAAAAGAAAGAAGTCTAGTAGTAGTAAAGGTGATAAGAATGAAAATAAAAAGACAGAAAAGCCTGAATGCAAATAATAATGATAAGTGTGTATTGATATATATATATATTAAAAAAACAGACAATCTTCATTAATTATAATGCAAGGTTTATTGCAGCCATCTCAACAAACTCTTCTAGTTCGTTCTCCAACTGAGGGATCTCTTAAGAGCTATTCTAGATATGAAAGCAAAGGCAAGAAAAGGATACTCTATAAAAATAATAAAGGTGAAATTGTTGACCCTCCTGAAAAATCACTTAGATTGCAAAACACTCAATATTCATAACAAAGCAAAACCAATAAGTCTCGAACTACCACCCCTACACCATCCGAAACTATCAAAACCTAAACTACATCAGTCTTTGATTTGCTTCCTATCGATGATCCCATTTGGTTAGAATTGATTCCTATTGAACTCTAATAAGATCAAAACTTTAATCTTGAAAAATTAATTAATGAAAATCAAGAGTACTTTGTTAATTTACTTGGATTATATATGCAAGAAAGATAATAAAATAGAATCCAAGAATTGAAACTTTCATTACCAAACAAAAAGCTTTCTACCTATGATTCAGTTTTCAAAAGACTCCAACCCTTAGATCAATCAAATTTCAATATAAAAATGTATGATTAAATCCCATTAGCTCAGTCTCTTTAATTATCAACTTAATATGAGGTAAATTTCTATTCTTATTATACAAAGACATCTTATCGTACTCCTAAACCCCAATAATAAGAAAATTATAAACCATCATATAACAGAGATCCCTCAGAGATGATGACACTCACAAGTTATAAATAAGATTATTTTAACTGGAAACCAGCACAAACAGAAAGAGTTGGACCATAAAGAGGTCAAAGTACAGGAGCTTTACCTTTTATTGGTAAAACATCTTATCAAGAAAGCTTTCGTGCTGCTAATTGTGAACCAACCGAGTCTGCAAAGAAGAAATCTCTGTAAACTTTTATTTAAATCTTAAATAGTGGACCCTTTGCATAGAGTAGTTCTATGATATTTAAGGAAGCCTTATCTAAAATACATTATCCTGGTTATACCTTTGAAGATTTACCTTTAAGAAAATAAAATAGTAGCCACATTTAAAGTAATGGATCTTATGATGGTTAATTTAAAACAACATTTAAGAAGTATTAATTATTCCCTTATTATAGTTCTTTTGCACATAAAGTACCAGATCCCATAATCCAAGATAGATATTGGAAATAAAAACTAATATAGAAAATATTAGAAAAAAAGTAGATTTGATAAAATGAATATTTTGTTCATTTTTGTTAATTATTTAAACCATAATTATATCTATGATGATATTTAAATAATCATATAATATTATAATTAAAAAATAAACTATATATTTAGTATATCTATTTCAATAAAACTTTATTATTATTTCTTTATTTATTATTTTTAGTTTATAATAGATAATTATTTATATATTTAATAATTAATTCTTATACTGATATTATCATTATAAAATAAGTATTTGTAAAGACAAATTGGGATAAAATAATAATTAGAAATATAAATCAAAATATATCTTTTTTTAATAAAACATCATGAAATTTTTATGAAATTTTAGGAATTTTAATTGAAATTATTGTTAATCAGAAATAAATAATAGTAATTAGTAGATTTTTATTAAGAAATAAATTTTATTTCTATGACTTCAAGTGTTCAACAATCATCAATTATTAAGAGAAGCACATTTTTAAATCAATCATAAGCTTTTACAATAACTAGTCGTAATAGTTCTGCAATTAAAAATAATGATGATAAAAAAGAATTAAGAAGGTAAGTTATGATGTTTAATTAATAAGATATCCAACAGAATGGGTAGAATAGATAGACAATAAATCAGATAATAGGTATCATCACACAATCTTGAATAAAAGTAAGGAAGATCATAATTCCAATTTGGCATCACCAAGTAAAATCTTTGAAAATTAAGATGGGTAATTAATTCAATTGAATATAAGAAATAACCCAAGTAGATTTCACACTTAGAATAATGAAATGTTATCAGCATTTAGAAGAAAAAACTAATCTCTTGGAAATTTGGGAAATTGGTAATTTTAATCCCCTTCTACTAAATCTACTGTAAAAGATAATAGAAAAACCATTACTCATTCATTTTCAAAAAGACTTGATTTAGCAATTCCATTATCTGAATTATTAGAGATATCAAGACTATTAGATTGTTCAAAACCAGATGAGATAAAATAATTATCAAGAGGCTATGTAAATGAGCTATTTTAAATGTCATAAAAAATTGAAAGAGCACTTAAGAATATCAATAGATGAATAAAAATAATGTATATAATTTCAAGAGATTTATTATATTATAAAACCATTTTTCTATATTTTTAATTAATCTTTAATATATATATTGATATTTATTCATAGCATAATTAAGTATTACTAATACCCTTTGAGCTATAATAAATAATATATTTTTATTTACAGAAAAATAAAGATTATAATAAGATGAAAGATAATTAGTATAACAAATTTAAATGTATAAATAATAAACAATAAATAATCATATCAATCTATATTAGATAATTGAAGTAATGCCTTATATTTTTATAAAATAGCTGAATTTTAATTATAATTANCTATTTCAATAAAACTTTATTATTATTTCTTTATTTATTATTTTTAGTTTATAATAGATAATTATTTATATATTTAATAATTAATTCTTATACTGATATTATCATTATAAAATAAGTATTTGTAAAGACAAATTGGGATAAAATAATAATTAGAAATATAAATCAAAATATATCTTTTTTTAATAAAACATCATGAAATTTTTATGAAATTTTAGGAATTTTAATTGAAATTATTGTTAATCAGAAATAAATAATAGTAATTAGTAGATTTTTATTAAGAAATAAATTTTATTTCTATGACTTCAAGTGTTCAACAATCATCAATTATTAAGAGAAGCACATTTTTAAATCAATCATAAGCTTTTACAATAACTAGTCGTAATAGTTCTGCAATTAAAAATAATGATGATAAAAAAGAATTAAGAAGGTAAGTTATGATGTTTAATTAATAAGATATCCAACAGAATGGGTAGAATAGATAGACAATAAATCAGATAATAGGTATCATCACACAATCTTGAATAAAAGTAAGGAAGATCATAATTCCAATTTGGCATCACCAAGTAAAATCTTTGAAAATTAAGATGGGTAATTAATTCAATTGAATATAAGAAATAACCCAAGTAGATTTCACACTTAGAATAATGAAATGTTATCAGCATTTAGAAGAAAAAACTAATCTCTTGGAAATTTGGGAAATTGGTAATTTTAATCCCCTTCTACTAAATCTACTGTAAAAGATAATAGAAAAACCATTACTCATTCATTTTCAAAAAGACTTGATTTAGCAATTCCATTATCTGAATTATTAGAGATATCAAGACTATTAGATTGTTCAAAACCAGATGAGATAAAATAATTATCAAGAGGCTATGTAAATGAGCTATTTTAAATGTCATAAAAAATTGAAAGAGCACTTAAGAATATCAATAGATGAATAAAAATAATGTATATAATTTCAAGAGATTTATTATATTATAAAACCATTTTTCTATATTTTTAATTAATCTTTAATATATATATTGATATTTATTCATAGCATAATTAAGTATTACTAATACCCTTTGAGCTATAATAAATAATATATTTTTATTTACAGAAAAATAAAGATTATAATAAGATGAAAGATAATTAGTATAACAAATTTAAATGTATAAATAATAAACAATAAATAATCATATCAATCTATATTAGATAATTGAAGTAATGCCTTATATTTTTATAAAATAGCTGAATTTTAATTATAATTATTATTAGATTAATTTCTCATTATTTTTTATTTAATGTTGATTACAGTAGCAATGTATCATTGTGATTGTATATCTACAATAACAAGATTTTTAGGATTATGTTTAATAAATAAGATAGTTGATTAAATGAATCCTATTACTGTATAAATGATATCTTATGATCTTAATTCATTATGATTAATATAGAGATGAATAATTTGTTTTTGTCGTTAATATGAATCCAGAATTTTTGTAAAATGATAATATGAAATAAGATTATCAAATTTAGATCCCAATAATAACATAGGACAATTAATATTCAAACATTATCGTATTTTGACTAAAGAAATAGAAAATTAAAATAATTGTAAAATCCGTCCTAATTATTTTATTAATAGTATGCCATACTTTTAATTATTTCAAATAATCCCTTATTAATCAAATTAGGTGTATCTAATTTATCTTTAATGAGATTGATAATTATTTCTTCAAGATCAATAAAAGGACTATCTAAAATCAAACAATGAATATTTTGATGTTTCAAAGTATACATCAAAGAATTTGTAGCTCCCATTAATCTTCCCCATAATATTATGTTTTAGTATTTATCTTACAAATAATCAACTAGCAATACTACATTGAGATATTCTTTTAATCTTTTTTTGATAGATAAAATAAATATACCCAAAAGTTACAAAGTCTCCCTCTGATTGTCCAGCATAACCACATTCTAAATCTGATCAATTAAATATAGTTCTTTTGGGCTGCATAATTTATCTACAATAATTATCAAACATTTATATTGAATAAGAATATTAATAAAAGAAATCCTTTTATTATGAGAAGTTCAATTGATAAATGGAAACTTATTATTAATCTAAATTCCTATTATTTTAATATTCTAAAATAATTATTAACAAGTGTTAAATGTTGTAGATTATTACCTTAAGACTTATTTATTAATGGAAAGTGTAGAAATTTAAATAAATTTATAAGATACATTGCAAGTGTTGAATAAAAGTCTAAAATTATTTAGTAATTACATAAAATATTTAACAATAATGAGAAGAGAGAAACAAATAAGGGTTTAAACTATGAGTGATGAACATACATCTCCTGTAAAACTACCATCTGTGTATTAGATCAATAAGACAATATAAGGAGAAGATGGAACTGTATAAATAATTAAGGTATAATAGATATTTGCAATGAATCAATTAATGAGTAGAGCAAACATTGGTACAAGTAATAAGACTTTTAGAACTTTATCAAAGATTTCAAATGAGTAGAGTGAAAGAAAGGATTTGTAATTATTATAATAATGGATTGATGTATGTAATTTACATAATTATTAAGTCAATGGTGCAACAGATTCAAAAGCAACATTTCTATAATATAACTGAATTCTATGATAAAATGGAGTTGATTTATTCTGGTTCAATAGGATAGCTTTGTTAATAGTTGTCTGTAAAATGCAATGACTATTCTTAATTGATTGATAAGATATGGACACAATTTACAAGTACTGTGAAAGAGATTATAGATAAATAATCTAAAACAAATCGTAAATTGGAAAAAGAGAGTTTGGCTAATACAATTAAGGTTCATGAGAGGTATTAGAACTCAATGACAGAGAAGGTATAAAGATTATAAGAAGCAGAAAAATAATTGAAACGTAATATAGAATATGTAGAAAAATTGAATAAAGAGAATAAATATTTACGTAAGAAAACTATAACATTTCAAACATAAATTACAAGTCTTAATAATGATATTGAATTGTTGAAATTGCAATTATAAGATATAAATAAAGAAAATGAAACACTTAAATTATTTTAATAAGTAAGACATACTACAGAAAATATAACAGCTGATTATGAAGAAGAATTATATAAAGCAAAAAAAGAAATATTTGATGATTTTAAATTAGTATTTGAAGAATAGACTCGTAAATTTGAAGAAGCATATCATAATAAAATGTTAGAATTAGAAAGAGGAAATGATGATAAAGCTTAAAAAGATGAAAATTTAATGGAATAATATGAAGAGATACTTTTTAAAGATAAATGTGTTGGTAATCATATACAATTTATAGATTCATAATCAGATACAACAGAGTATATATATAAATATAAATATATATAGTTTAATATAAACTTAAGATTGTTCAGTTTAAACTATTTATTAAAAGAAAAAATTCTATGAATAGGAAACTCAGACATTACCACCTTAAACTAATAATTAAGCTTGTGAAGCCAATTATGCACTTATTAAAAGAGAATGTATACCAAGAAATAATGATGAATAAACATATTTAGAAATGTCAAGATATCCAATTAAAGCATTTATTGATGATTACTATCAATTATATATAGAGAGAGTAGAAATTGAAAAGAAGACATTTCCTGATATATTTGAAAGTGTTCTCGATCAACTTAAATTTAGATCATCTCAATTATTTAATATTATGAAAATGAAAGAAGAATTCTATTCAGATGATTTTATTGAAGTAGATAAATATGTATAGAGTTCTTATTCAGTATTTGTATTTTTAACTCATCACTTTCAAGATATAATTCATAAATTAAAGGATGAATTGATTGCTCGTAAAATCTAAATATATGAAACTTAAATTGATTGTAAATAAGCTATAAGATAAAAAAATCAAGTTTAAAAGAGATTAGATATATTGAGTAATAAATACTAATAGTAAGTTAAGAATTATAATTTTATTGAAAAACAATTTAAATAAATTTCTAGATTCATTCCTTAATATCATTAAGATTAAATACGTCGTAAAGCAAACAAACATAAAATTCATTTAGAATTCCCTAAAGCATATTCTCCAACTCCTAATCCTATGATTGCAAGTATTAATAATTTGAGCAATTTGAATCCTCCACAATAACAGGTATTTATTAATAGTTCCACTTCTCTTTTACCTCCTTAACATTAAAGTACTAGTCCAAATTTATTGTTATCTACAAATCCTAAACATTCATTTGGATTCTTCCCTCCAATGACACCTCTGGAACCCTAATAAGATAATAGTCTCCCATAACGTAATTCTTTAGTTGAATTGAGTTATGATTCACCAGAAGCTCCTGAAATGCTTTCACCTCAAAAACCCCAAATAACATTAAATTGTATCTAATTTATATTATCTAAGTCTTTCCTGATAATAAATTCGAAGATTCATCTAGTTCTTCTTCTGAAGAAGTAGATTTATCTGAATGTTTGAATCCTGTAAAGAATCTACTTTCAATAGAAAAGAAATTGTTTGTTAGTAGATGTCCAAGTAAAAATACATAAATTGCAACTTAAACATTATTATAAGAAATTCAATAATTTAGAAGAGATAAAATAGAAAATATTGTAACTTAAGGTACATTAATAAAAACTTTATCTAATTTTGTATCTTGGTGTTTAAAATTTAATAAATTCAATTATCCTATGCATGTCTAATTATATGAATATTTTTCTAGTGAGAATTAATCATAACCATAGAATGTTTGGTTAGGTAAAGTAGCAAGAGTGATTAAATCAGTAATCTATTATAAAAGAAAGAATGATTCAGCCAGACTATTTCATGCAATGTTGGTCGGAGATGTACTTAATCTTATCTATACACTAATTAGTTAAGTTTCCTGATTTACTTATAAATCTTGAGCAACATATAAAACATCAATTTCTAAGACACTGGAATCTCAGTTCTACAATCCTAATTAGCTGATCATATAAAGAGTTTATAGAAATCACCTCAATATATTGATTATGATTAAGAGATCTCTCATCATTTAGGACCTATGTAAGATATCAAAATTTAAGAATTATTACTTAAATATTCTATGATATTGTAAATATTTGCAGAAGAAGGTGAAAGATTAACTTAGAATTAATTTCGATTACTCATGCTTGAACTTGAAAGTAAAAAAGAAGAATAATACTATATAAATATGTTTAATTCTGAATGTGATATTGAATAATCTTCTATATAATACATGTCATTTTAAAGATTTGCTGTAATTTGTGAAGAACTTCAATTATTATAAGGATTAGATGAATATTTAGCTAAAAATGATGCTTAATATTTTAAGGATTAAGATCTATGGAAAGTAAGAGAAATAGAATTAAAATTAATGCTTATTAGAAGTCATAATTATGATGCATCTGAAAGAGATCTTTTTTATAGAATGAATAAATTACATTAACCATCTTAACGTATAATATTAGGTAGATTTTTGGAAAGAAGAGCAAAAGAGTTATTACTATAGAAATATACATTAGAATGTTTGGCGCCATTTATGTTACTTTTCGAATCATGATTATAATGAAAATTAATTAGTTAAAATCACACTAAACATTTAGGTTATTGTTAAGTTATCTTTGATTGGAATGAAAGCATTAACATCTTTATATAGATTATTACGGAAAAAGTCATACACTGCCTTATTTTATTTTAATTTCTTTAAAGTAATTGTTTTAGCATCATTTGCTCTTCTTAATTTATCTACATCATCAGATGATATGAATTATTCAGCTTTTATATCTTATGGTTTCTCATTTTTTTATAATATCTATTAATATAAAAATATATTTATTACTTTCAAAAATGTTTATTTTTCTTATTTCTTAATTTTAACTTCATTTAATTTTATTGAACATTCTTATACTTCTAAATTTAATTCATTACATTTTGTTAAATGATTTAAAAATTCATCAAATTTTGGATTATTATAAGTATTAGCAATTCCTAAAAAATTAAGTTGTCTAATCTATTCTAAAATGTGTGAATCTATTTAATCACTTACATCTCCTTTTGGTTTTAATGATAATCTATATCCAGGAGTAATCATTCTATTAGATGGCATTTATTCCAACATAAGTCTTGTCTATGTTTCACGTAATTTATCCTATTATTATAAATTATTATTAATAGAATATTGATGTCTTAAATTCTTAGTATTATTATCTTATGTATCAAATGTTACTTTAACCTTATAATCAGTATTAAAGTTGAAATTAATATTTCCATTAGTAGTCATATTTCTTTAACTAACTAAACTCAAATCTTTCATAGTCATTAACTATTTTTAAATAGGTTATTTTTATTATTTAATAGGTTCTATTTTACTCTTTTATTTATATACACTTAATTTCTCACTTAATTCCTTTATTATTTATTTATATTCATTAATTATCCTATCCAAATTTTTACAATGTCTAAATAATTACTATACTCTCTCTTCATTTTAATCTTAATTAAATTAACATAATTTTAACACTATTTACATTCTTTTCATTTCATTCTAAACTCCTTATAAATTGTCCATTTATTTCTTTAATTCATCTCCCTATATTTTAGTTAAGTCATTCAATCGATAAGCTTCAATAGTAGCCTCTTAAGGATATAAATTCTATTTAATTGTTTATAATTCCTTTAATTTATTCTTTAATTATTAACTAAAATCTTAATTAATATTCTTACTTCTAATATTATAATTAATTATATTTCTTAATAAATAAAACTTTCTTTTTATTCTCAGGTAATTCTCTTCTACCTGTTGAAGGTGCTCTATCAATACTTTTTTCTAAAGACTAATTTAATCTCCTCATAGGTTCATCCTTATTTACCATAGGACTATAATAACGATGTCTAATTTCTGGTAATTTATTAATAGATTTATCCTTAGAACTTTTAGCATTAATAACTAATCGAATAGCCTTTTAATTAATTTATATTTCTTCTTAAATAGACATATATTAAGTAGAATCTTTTCCATAAAATTACATAAGTTTAGAAAAATTGTTTTTTTATGTTAATGCTAACCATGGAAATTACACCCATAACCATCTCTTATAATAATAAGGATTTGGAACTTTAGAAGTAGATAATAATTTCTCTCTTAAAAAATCTTATTTAGTTTATAAATATTCTTGTAAAATGTTTGAATCAAATTATGATTGATAATAATTAATAAAACTATCTCTATTATTTTTAATATCTAAATTAAGATTCTCTAATTAGACAGTACTCATTATAGTTGGAAAATAATCTTCATTTAATTATTACTTTGGTTTTTTCTTTGCTAACATTTTCAATTAACTTAACTCACCATATAATCCTACTTCTTCAAATTCTATTGATTGGCCTCTTAATAATGGATGTTTATAAGCAGGAGTGCCTTCTCTATTAAATAATTAAATGAATAGTACTTCTCAAAATTAGAGAATTCTCTTAGAAATATACATATTTATAACATAATAAAAAATAATCCTTCTGCTGATGGTTTATAAATAGCTTAGAAATTCTCTACTGCTTTATTATATTCCATAACTAAATCATATCCATTTTATTCAAGCATATCCCATAATTAACATAATTCAAATTTATTATAAGGATTCCAAAGAATAAGGAAATGTTCAATATTAATAATTATTTCTTTGAGTTTAAAGTACTTTTTATTTTTAGTATATTATTAAATAAGTTCTTCTAATTTTCTAGTAGAATTAGTTGAATGTTCAATAATTAATAAGTATTATTCATATAGGTTTTTATTAAATTATATTTATTAGATTGCTTATTTCATAGTAAGTATATATATAGAATAGACTTGATTCTTCTCTAAGAAACAGATCTATATAATTATGTTTCATTCATATACCTTGAAAAAATCATAAACTTTAATGAATTATTCTTGAGTGCATGAACAACTAGCTGTCATTTCATCTATTGAGATACCTTTATTAACATATGAAAGAACACAAAAAATGGAAGAAGCAATTTAATCATGGATGCAAAACTAATTAACAAGAATAATAAAGAATTCAACTTCAGTTTGAAATTCTATTTATTATTTAATTAATACTTTCTGCTTATGATAAAACATCCAAAATTAATTATGAATATTCATCAAGTGGATTGCTAAGAATATTATAAAATATTTTGAGAAAATGTAATTGGGAACGTAATTATTAAGGAATATGCATTATAGCATTATGTATAGGTGAATTATTCTTTATAAGATTCCAAATTTCAGTACTTTCATTTTCACTAGAATTATATATTTAATATTTACATAGGAATGATGGGATTTCCAATAGATTAATAATATTCATAAGCTTTACTACCAAATCTAGCAGATGCAATAAGTTTAATATTATCAGGTAATATTTTAGGTAACCAAGATGATACACGAACTTCACCACCACTATAATATTTATCTATGCCTTGAATTACAATAATGACCCTCAATAATACTATATAATATACTCGTTTGTATGCTACTTTACAATCACTGTATAATTGATTACCAAGTTCTCTTGAACATAGATTCAACCAATATTCAAAATATTATTTTAATTTCTCACTCTCTAATTCAACTTTTTATGTAATATTAAAAACAGCCTATATATTCATTATAAATACTCGTAATTTAGTTAAAATGTAATATATAGCATAATAATGATTTTAGTTCTCATGCTCAACAAAATATGGGATAATTAAATCTCTCTTTATTCTTTAATAATGCTTACATTTCTTTATTAATGTTCTTGAATCCAATAAGCAATCATTGTCTATAAATCATCTCCCTCTTTTTCATGAATCAAAAGTACTTTATTTTACTACAATTTAAATAAACTATAACTGTTTACTTTGACTTTATAAAATTGTTCTTCAATTCGAAAATGAAACTATTCTAATCCTTCAGGTCGCATCATTGTAAGACATTTTTCAAGAATAATTTCAGATTTACTATTTATTTATTATATCTAATTACCTATTGACTTATTCAAGTTCAAATTAGTTATCCATTTAAATATTAATTATAATATAATTAAAAGGAAAAAAGAATATTTTTTTTTTAATTATCCAATTATTAAATATTTAGAATAGATATATTATAAGCTGTTTTAGCATAAATCACAAATTTTTGCTTAAACTCTATTTGACCTATTAAATGGCAGGTTCTCTACAATCATCTTATTAATGTAATGAATCTTCATCATTAATTGGTTATTATTATTATTTATATTTTTAAAGGAAATTCAAAGATTCTTGTCTTTTATGTTTAGATAAACCTTCTTTCATTTTTTGTTATTATTTTGATCCTTCTAATGGGGAATCTATATAAAATTAAATTATATAATATATTTACCATCAATACTTTCTATTCTACCTGTAATAATTGGAGTATGCATTATCATCTATTCTTGTAATTAAACACTTTCCTTCATCTATTCTTTCATAGCCTAAGTTTATGTAGCTCTAATATTTGGAGATTTAATTGGTGAATTAGTTAGTTGATTAATACGCATCATATCAAATTTATTATTAAGATCATTAATCTTTTATAATCTTTAATCTAATTAACAACTATCATCAATATCAATATTTTCATCTTCAAATTAAGCTATGTTTGGAATATGATAAGGATTAAAATAATTATGTTTTAATGCTTCTTCTGCTGTAATTCTTTATTTTGGATCTGTTTCTAACATTCTTTTTAAAAGATTTAATGCTGCTTTTGGAATTATATCAAATGCTGATGATTTCCATTATATTTTAGCTTCCTTATTTTGATTCACAATTGTTGTATAACTACGACCAGTAAAAGCTGGCTTCCCAGTCAATAGCAAATGGAATACCAATCCTAAAGAATAAATATCACAAACTTTATCATATTTTGTTGTTAGATCTTTGATATTAATTACTTCAGGAGCCACAAATCTATTATATATATTTAATCATATACCCTGGAGTGCCACATCTACAATACAAATACACTTCCTCATGAACATAGGTAGCCAATCCAAAATCTGCCAGACATACAGACTCTATTTGATTAGGCTTTTTGAATAAGATATTTTCTAATTTGATATCTCTATGCATGATATCTTTGGAGTGAATATGTTTGAGACCTAATATATATTTCAGAAATACCTTCTAATAATCCTTTTATAATAGTTAAGATCTCTTTATTTGAAAATATGACCTTCTTTTTTAATTACTCATATAATTGACCACCTTCCAATAATTCTAAACAAACATATAATGAATTTGTTGTCTCATGAACTTCATGTAATTTAATTATGTTTGGATGATCTAATTATCGCATCAACTTTATTTCATTCATTAAACCTTCCTTTCCATTCTCTTCTGCATATGCCACACTCTTTGAAAATGCCTTAATAGCCATCTATTATCCATCCTCAACTCTCTCAGCCAAATAAACTGATGCAAAGTTTCCCTTCCCAATCTTCTTAAAAACCTTAAACAAGTGATGAAACCCATATTAATTAATCCTTTTCCCCAAAAACCATCTCCATTGTGTTAGAGTCAAAGAATGAGCACTTAACTCATATCTATGTTCCTCATCTCGAAATAGCCACAACGCAATAGGCTCTCCAAGTTTCTCTATATTCTCGCTCTTCACTTAATCAGCTCGAGCACTTCCTGATAGCTTTATTACCTAACAACCAGGTTTCATCTTAGGGGCTGTTCGTATCATCTCAAATTTCAGATCAAAGTCTATCATAGTGTACTTCTTAGGCTTTTTGAATTGGGGGTCCTTATGTTTAAACTCTCATTGAAACCTCGTATATTATTAGCATTGTCTCACTCCCACCTAAATATCGAACCTTTCCTTTCTTCTAAAATTCTGACTTTATCAAAAGCTCTCCAATTTTCACATCTTCTTTATAAGCGCTCCAAAACTTTGTTTTCATTAAATGATAGATTATTTATCAATTATTTTTCTTTAGAAAACACCATAATCTTTTATATCTTAAATGCTCTCAATCTTTTAAATTGCATATCATAATCAAATTTACAACAATAATATCTTAAATTAGAAAATCTTAAATTTATTTTATGTCAAGATAAAATTTCAGTTTTATTTGAATCTTATTGTTATATCTTGTCAACAATCCATTACAAATAAATTTACATATTACAAATAACATTCATACTTTAATTATATCATTCATCTTAAATATCAATTATCAAAATATTCAAACAAATATTAATAAAACTATATATATATATGTTCTCATATTAAATTATAGTTAATAATATATATTTTATAAATTCAAATGAACGATAGAACCTAATAAATGGCAGAAGATCCCTCTACAAAAGAGCTAAATAACTTTGTGTAAACTCTCCTCAAACAAATGTAAGATAGATTTGATGAAATGCAAGGTACAATTGTTTCTAGAATTGATGATATGGGTAATTAATTAAATTGATCAATTTTATTAGGAAAGCGTATCGATGACATTGAAAAAAGTGTTACAGAACTTATGAATGATCTAGGATTCTCAGATGATGAAAATGAAAAAGGCAAATAATATTGAACTTTAATATAAACCTTATCACATTATTAAATTTTCAATACATTAATACGCATAAGAGATAAAATTTATATATTAATACATTATTATTATCTCATTCAAATCTATATATATTTATTGTTAAATAATTATCAATTTTTTTATATAGAAATATATTATTATGAATATTATATAAAAAGAGATTTATTAATACTTCCATTAATTATCAAAAATAGGTTTAGAAAAGTGTGTATTAGTTCAAAATATTAAGCAATTTTCATAATATTATATTAATTAATTAATAATTATAAAGGTTTTATATAATATAAATGGAAAATTAATTTTAATTTTTTATAAAAATCATAAGTACATATATTTGTTTATAATAATAAATTTATCGATTGTAAAATTAGCAGTTGTTAAAAAAGATAAATAACATTTAAATTTGATTATATAATTAGATTTTTTTTATTTATATAGGAATTATGGTATCGATTCATTTAAAATTTATAAACATCTAAAAATAGAATTTTGATTGAAAAAATTAAAATTATGTTTTGTAAATCTTGGAGATAATTTTAAATTAGTATTTTTTTAATTATTGTTTTATAGATTATGAAAGATATTCTAAAGACAAAATTCATTTAATTAGGTTGATAATTAATTAAGCAAATATTGATTTAAAATAATAATTATAATAAAATGGGAAATTGTACAGCTGAAAACATTTAACAATATGAAAATGTAGAATTTACAGAAGGAGATACTTATGAAGGAGAGATGGAGAATGGATTTGCAGAGGGTTGGGGTATATATACTAGAAAGAATGGGGACAAATATATAGGTTGGGTAATAATAAAATATTTTATTGAAAGTGGCATAATGGATTTTAGCATGGAATTGGTAGAGAGGTATTTGCTGATAAAACAGAGTATGAAGGAACATTTTTAGAAGGGAAAAAACATGGTAAAGGAAAAATAACATTTCCAGATGGATCATCTTATGAAGGATAATTTTAAAAGGATAGTTTTTCAGGAGAAGGAGTATACATATATCCAAATGGAATGAAGTTAATTGGTACAAAAATGTTATAATTAAGTTTGGTAAGTGGATTGATAATAGAAAAGAAGGCAGTGCTTAGATTGTATTTGAGAATGGAAATATATTTGAATGTGTAAAAATATCATGAATTAAAAGTAATACAAAAATGATATGAAAAATGGTGAAGGTTTATTCAAATGGCCAGATGGATGTAGGTTTTAAAGTAATTGGGTGGATGGAAAATTGTAAGGAGAATCGAAATTAATAGAGAATGGAATCATGACTATAGGAGAATGGTTAAACAATAAATGTGTGAAGTGGGAATAATTAAATAATTGATATCTAAATCTATATTATATATAATAATAATGATCAAAAAATGATTATATTATAAATTATTTTATAAACTCCACCAAAAATTTCAATTCAAATATTTAATGGAGACATAAACACTATTACATCAATTAGTAAAGCAAGCATTTCCAGATTCAATTGAGGATAGTACATTAAATAACTATAAAACCTATTTTTTGAGAATTCTAAATGTACGAACAGGTATTTAATTGATGGATGAATCTGAACTCCAGGCAGAGATGACTAAAATGACTAATGTAATATCATATCTAAACAAAAGAAATCATAAGCATATAGATTACAAGATTGTTTGAATCGATTGAGCAAAACGAGATTAAGAAAAAAGAATGAACTAATTCATTTCCTCTTTCGTACAAGTCAACTAGGCTAAAATAATAGTTATACAAATTAAACTTTAGACACTTTATTTAAATCATAAGAGATCTCTTAAATAAATTATTCCTAAACTATACCTAAGAAAATTATAGAAGAGAGTCCTAAAAATAATGATTAATTGAATATTATTCAATAAATTACTGATAAAGGAAATGTAACTCTATCTATTACAGAAAAAGATTTGATAAAAGATCTAATATTTAGTATATAAGGTATAGAAAGTTAATTCATATGTTATGATCCAATTAATGATTCATTTTAAGTGAAAAAAGATATAGCAATTAGTTCTGCTAGTAGAAAATTACTAAATGTTATGTGTGAATGTGGATGGTTATTCAAAAAAATATAGACATTCACATAATCAAATTATAATAGTTTAGTATTGTAAGCATTATAGAATTCCATTAAAGAAGAATTAAATGAATATTACAGATTGATTGCATATTTTGAAAATCTTCTAGCAGAATCTACCTTAACATTAAGAAAAATGTATATGTGGTTGAAATAGCCAATGCATCATTTAGTTTAAATTAATTTAGTTTTATCCTAAATTTTGACTAATGTTTAATTAGGAACTACATCTTCATTAGTGATTTCTATTCTCTGTAGATATTCAAAACATGGTTGTCCATAAACATCTTAATTATTTTCTAGAATATTACATTAAACAACTATTCCAATTGTTAGATTTATAAATTAATGGATTTTTGATGGATCTTTAAGTGATTAAGCATAAGAATTCTTTATAGAAAGAAATGATTCTAATAAAATATAAATAAGAGATAGTGGAGAATTGTGGAAGAATGAATTTAAAGTTAATCAAGATAAAATACCTTATATGATATCTTTGAATGATTCTTATAAAATATTTGATACAGGTAGAGTCATTAATTGGCTTAGAAAATAGAAAAAATTTACATAATTCAATTAAAATTATGATTTAATAACTATTGATCTACTTGGAACAGAATAATTTTCTCTTTTTGTTGATTAAGTCAATAAGGAATATAACAAATAATTAATTTAATTGATTAAACCAAACTTTAAAATTACTCTTAATGCAATTAAAAGATTCCTATTATTAGGTTAAGGAGAATTTATTCATACTTTAATGGAATTATTATAAACTGAATTAAATAAACCAGCATAATAATGTTATAGACATACTTTATTAAGTATTTTAGAATCAGCATTCAAAAATGTATCATAAGAGGTTAGATTAAATGTTAAACTTCTTGAACCTTCCTAAAATGATACTGGATGGGAAATATTCTGTTTAGATTATACTATAGATGAACCTTTGAATACAATTTTTAATTAGAAAATTATGTTATCATATTATAGAATTTTCAATTTTTTATGGAGAATAAAAAGAGTTGAATTTACATTGACTTAATGTTGGAAAATGCATTAAAAATTTATGGCAATTCCTAATTAATTCTAAACTATAAAAAAAGCAATTTAATTAAGTTATTAAATGATGAATGAAATGCAACATTTTATTAAAAATTTCTATAGTTATCTAATGTTAGAAGCAATAGAAAGTTCTTGGAAAAAGTTTATTGATGAATGTGATAAAATATAAGATTTAGATGGTTTAATAAAAATACATGAATTATTCATATCTGATATATTAGATAGATCATTCTTAAATACTAAAGGAGAATCAACATAAAAGTTGTTATTCAAATTATTTGATTATATATTCAGATTTAAAAGTTGTCAAGAATTACTCTTAAGTTATGCCAAAGATTAAATTTCTTAAACTGATAATTAGCAATTATAATTGAAGAATTTATTAAATAAACAATAAAATATAAGTAGATTAAATCAAAATAAAAATTAAGATATTATAAAATCTTTATTGGAATTGAGGAAATAATATAGAGATTAAATGTTTGAATTACTTGAAAAACTTAAAAAGGAAGATAGATTAAAATTCCTACATTTCAAATTAGATTTTAATGAATATTATTTAGGAATATAGGAATCCAAATTATTTAATTAGGATTTAGAGAGGTAATTATATAAATAAATTATATTATTAGATTTATTGAAAAGTGTTTACCTAAAGTTAATGAAGTTTAAATATAACCTAATAGAGTTTAAAGTAGTAAACAACTAATATAACCATAATAACCATAATAAAGAACATTCAATACAAATATTGAATTTTAAAATGAAGTTAGATCAGTTAAAGAAGGATGTAATATAATATTTTAAACATTTAGTAAGACTATTAGATGAATAAAGAAGATAATAATTATAATTAAAGGATTAATTTAGTAAATCTCCTTTGCAAAAGTCTCCCTTATTGTAGATTCCACCAACAATGACTGAACATGAAAAAAGAAAGAATGATGAAGATTTAAGTTCAAGTGATGATGATTGAGAGTGATATCAAAAGAGATTTATTTATTTTTGAAATTAATAATAATCAATAATATTAATTAATTACTAAAAAGAGTGTTTTCAGTGAAGCATTATTTTAAAAATTAAAATATCTAATCCATTAATTAGGATATTAATATTTTCACTTTATAGGCGTTTAAAACACATGAATTAAAAAATTGAGTAATGAATTATTTACAATTCATTTAATAAAATTTTGTTAATTATAATTTATAAAGTGAGTTGATATATTTTATAAGCTATTATTAACAAAATTATATTTGATATAGATAACAAGATGAAATGATTTCAAATATGGATTAAATAATTGATTATTAATATAAAGTGTGGCTTAATTTCTGTATAAGGATATTGATTATTAATTATTGCAATACTAAATATAATGAGTTTTAATAAGTTTTAGCTAGAAGGATGTGGATTCAATTTCAATCTTATTCATTTGTTATGGCTTTAAGATCCAATTTTCAAAAACAATATACGCTTAGATGTTCCTGACACAATATAAATACTTTAAGGATAACCTCATTTTTGGTATTATAGTGTGGATTCATAAATAATGAGAAAGAGCAAAACAAAACTGAATTTAGAGTCTATTTTAAATGATTTTGTGAAGGATAAAAATGATAATCATGAGATATGTGCAGTTTGGATAACTAAGAAAGATAATTAAACAGAATTTGAATTTCTATCTCAATATCTTCTATGCTAATTAATATCTCAAATGAATTATGAAACGAAGGGTTATTTATAGAAATTCATTTATCCAAAATGTAGATTAATATGAATATTCATATAGCTGAGAAGAATGAAGTGATAAAATGTACATGGGGAAACAATTTGTGTTATTTTGAAGTGTACACAAATAAATATCCAATAATGATGTAGAAAGCAGATATATATTAAAGAGCAGTTACATTTGAAACACCAAATGGACCTGTTGAATAATCAACGTATAATATATAATTTTTAAGATTTTCAGTTTAAAGGGAACATAATTTTGTCAAAGATTAGAATTATTATGTGGATTAATCATGTCTCATGTTATAAATGTTACTTAAAACTAAAAAGAAATCACATTGATGGAATTGATATTTAAATTATCAAAAAAAGGATAAATCTATTTAATTTTATGTTCCAATTTATCAACATCAAATATTCCTAGTAAATTTGCATTACGTATACATTTAACTGATTTAAGCGGATTTTTAGATAACCAAAAAAGTTACTAAAGAACTATTAAATTATCCTAAAGCAATCACCTTATCAGATAATTCAAAATGTATTGTTTGTGATGAAGAAAAGAATTAAATAGAATTTTCAAAAGTTAAATTAAAAGAATTAATCCATTATTGGGAATCTGGGTCTGATCATAGATCTTAAATTTAATCTCCAAAATCTTATAGAATGAATGCTTAATTAATAAAAATAGATCCAACTCAATTAATACCAAGAGTAATCAAGATTATGTATCCAAGAATGACTTTAGAAGAATATTAAGAATTTCGTAATAATACAGTATTCATAAATTAAACTATATCATTATGTAGTTATTGTTTTACTAAACTTTATGAAAATGAAACAGAAAAGGTAAAAATGATTCCAAAAAAACATAAAAGATTAATAAGAACAGAAATCTATGATAATGAACCAATCAAATATGATCCAATTACTCCAGGTACAACAAAGACTTCAATTTATTGTGGATTTTTGGAACATAAAGTTATCAATAATTATATCAAACGAAGATTGAAATTATCCAATATAAAGAAAGAATCATTTCCTATAGTCAACAATTCGAATTCATTATTTAAAACTACTTAATCTTCTAGACTTAAAGTAGAATTATGAATATTAAAATTTCATCATTACTCTTTTGAATTGTAAAAATACAAATTAAAAAATAAGTCTAAATTTATATAAATTCAATTTATCATCATTGTTTTATTCTGATATGTACATTTTATATGCTATATCGTGTAGAATAACTTTATAAGTTATAATTTGGTAAATGGTGACTTGCAGACTTTGCTTTTTAGGCTGTCTTATCGAGTCCATACTAGATCAGCCTTTCATTATTTCTAATTCTAAATTGATTCAACAATACAGGATTTTAATCACTTCTCTTTATACTACGAGTAGTAATTGCATTCCTATCACTTGCATAACTATTTCTCTAATGCATTGATTTAAACATAGTAGGAACTTCTATTTTCAGTTGAGAACGATCTTTCCAATATTTCACAGTCGATAATATTACTGAAGCCCTTTTTACAGCTTTACGTAATACAATCTTATTATCTATTTTTGGCTTTTGACTAATATGCTATAAACAAATAGATAATGGATATAGACAATTTAATCTAAGTAATTTCTATCCACTCTTACCATCTTAGAAGCTTTTTCTTCTCTATTTCTTTGGTATATCATCTAATTCAGCAATTTAAGATGTATTTCTTTGCCTTTTTGGCTAAACTAATGATATTAAAAGTGAATTTCTCTTTTAATTTACTAATTTATACTCTCTCTGACTCGTTAAGCAACTTAAAGTCATCTATTCTAATGATAGATATGCTTATCGAGTCTTCATTATATTTTTAATTTTTTTTATTTTTAAAATGCACTAACAGCGACGTTTATCTCCAGCTCCATCTAGTCCATGTCCCAGAATTTGTAATATCCATCATTTATTTGCTTATAGAATAGTAATCTAATCGCATGTAGTTTCTTCAACCATAATATGTAGTTCCTTAACAACCACAATATTGTTAATAACCAATAGTTCTTAAAACTGAAGAATTGAGACCTGTTTAATAATAACATCATTAATCTAGAGAAAGAGAAAAAGAAAATTTAAATCCAAAAGCATTCTAATCAGGCAGACTATTAAGTCAATATGATACTCCATAACAATCATAAAGATCTCTATAATAAATACCAGTTGGAGCTTTTCCAACTCAACCTTCAAATGAATCCCAAATTAAATAATTAAAAGAAGAAATGCTCAAAATGTTTGAATTTTCTCGAAAAGATTTTGAATTACTTAAAGCAGAATTAGAATAAACTAAACAAGATTTACTTGAACAAAAAAAAATGAATAAAACATTTATTACTTAAATAGAATCATTAAATTAGTAATTAGTATAAGAATAAGAATAAGCAATCAAATTAAAAAATCAAATTGATGAATTATAAAAAGATTAGATAAAATAAAATAATGATATTGCCCTTTATTCAGGAATCAAATAAGATATAATAATAGAATTACAAGCATATTTTGATAACTAACTTAAATTATAAAGCACTTAATAATAATAACCTTAATAGTAAATTACATTAGACACATATGACACATATATAAAGAAATACGAATAATTTAATAAATAAGTCAATGATTATTTATTAAATAGAAAATTACCAGATAATTAATATAATGATGTTATTGAATCTGATAATAGTAATTTAATCAAAGAAAAAGAGTCGCCAGTTAAATTATTGAATTAAGAAGAATAACAAATTATATTCACCAAAGAGGATATGGACAGATGTAAAAAGTTAATTTAATTATAGATAAAATGTCAATAATACATGAAAATGAGAATGAAGAAGATGAAATCATTTATTAAGTAGATGAAAATGGATATGTGATGAATCAAGATGGAAATCATCTTGTAGATAATTTTGGAAGGTTAATTTAATTATCAGATAAAGATATTGAATACTTTAAAAGCAAAAATTAATTAGATGAAATCAAGTGAAATTTCATTTTTAAATTATTATTATTTATATTTTAATTATGATTTTCAATTTTATATTGTATTTTGATGCATTTGTACATCGATTATTGACTTTCCCATAGATTTCATCTTTTTTAGAATAAATATAATTTAGAATTATCTTTGCATAAATATATAAATATTAATATTAACATATGTTGATTAATTCTAAATTATAAAATAATATAGATTAATTTTATTAAAAATTAAAAAAATATTCTTAAAAAATATTTTAACAATTTATACTATAATCAATACTAAATCAATTAATTTTCATTTGTCTTAAGATTTTAAATGTTTAAAAATTACTTTCCTAAAAATTGTTAAATTACCCTTTGAATTTTGTCATGTTATACCACAAATTAATAGATGATCTTTAACTCTCAATGATTATTATTATTCATATATATTAGCCTTATTCGTCATTTGCTCCTGAAATTTGTTTCACTATTCATATGCTAGAGGTTCATAGAAAATTAATATATATTTTTAAAAGGATTATACATATTTAATTCTACACTTAAATGGATTATTCTTTTGGATTCAAAATTATCAGTAATTTTTTATCTTTTTTTAATTTTTAAATTTATTCCCTTTAATTTTAAGCTTTATATTATGAAAACATAATGTAATATCTTATAGGTTAAAACACTATCTTCTTTACTTTCTAATGAAATTTCAGAATTGATTTAAAAGAAAGGGTCAACCAAACAATAATAATTTAATGGTACTGATGAGGATCTTAAAAAAAAATTATTCGTTTGTATGAAATCCATTTTAAAAGGTTTCGTTTTCATTTTGCTTAATTTTGTTTTATGACTATATATGTATATATCTTACATATGTTTTTTACAAATACTTTTTTATGATCATTGTATGATCATTATAATAAATTAAAAGTTTAAAAATTTATTGAATCTCTAATCTTGTAGTATTAAAAGTAAAATTTTTGCAAAACCTAAATAATTGAAACAAAGATTTTAATGGGAATCGTAGTATAAACTGTATTAGTATGAGAAATCTTTTATATCATTGGGATTTATATCAAGAATTGTTTTGTGTATTATCTCAAAGATAGAAATCATTAAATCAAATTATTTATTTTGAATTTTACTATTAAGAATTTTAAGTGAAAAGAATAATGATGATAATTTAAAAGAAATTTGAAACTTAATAAATTTTACATAAATGATTCGAAGATTTAAGAAATAAACACTAATTTTTGTAAATTAAATATTATTATAAAAATCCTAATTGTTTAAAATTAAATAATATTTTATTAAGTAAATATAATGATTATTAGATTAAATATAAAAATATTATTTTATTATGTAAATATAAATAATTTTTAGAATAAAGATAAAAAATACTAATTGTTTAAAATTAAATAATATTTTATTAAGTAAATATAAATGATTATCCATTCACAAATTCGATTTTACTATTTACAATCTCTTTCTGATTTAAATTGACTACAATCTGTACATCTATTTGAATTACTCACTTAATAAGTCAGCCCTAAAACTATGAAACAAATAAAAGATATATATTTCATCTTCATTTTTATAATAAATAATAGATTGTCCATTTGTTCAAAAAGAATATCAATATTGATATTTGATTATTTTAGTATAAATTTGATTTTGATTTACAAATTTTTTAGTTTTATCATAATAATTTAATTTGCATAAGGTATTCAATATTATTCGAGACCTAATAAAGGTTTTGAATATATTATCTCTTATTTCTAATTAAATGAGAACATAAACCATATTTATAAATTGTATAATGTAATTTAATTATTATTAAATTTATTAATTTCACAATGAATTATTGATATTTTTTACTAATTAATCTAATAATCTAATACATTATATTATTTTTTTGTTTATTATGAATTATTTGAATTATTATTAAATAGAGAATTAAACATTTCTAATTAATATGTTCATTTACAAAACTCTATCATAATATAGACATAATGATTTTAAATTAATTAATTAGTAATAATATTGCTAATAAGACCTTTAATGCATAAAAGTATATTCATATTATAGTTATATATTTTAACAAATGATTAATAAAAGGAATGTTGATATATCTAAAATATTGATTAGAAATTAAATTACTCTAAAAATTTTCTTTAATATTTATAAAAAGCATTAATTCTCAGATATCATTTTAACTTTTCTTTATTTAGTTTAAGTTAAGTTAAGTTAATTTCATATTTTTTCTTTAACTTAAATGATAAAATAAACTATTTTATATGATTCTCTTCGGTTGCATAATAAATTGTTAAATTTTATAAAATTCATACAAGTTATTACAAGCTAATCATTTTAATTCCAGATAATGAGATACTTATGTACATAAAAAATTTATGCTGCTATTATATTTTAAGAGAAACTGAAAAATGTGTTAATAAAAAGAATCAAGCATCCAAATAATATTAATATCAAGTTACAAGAGGATATTTCTCAAGATTAAATTTTGATTATTTCAAATCATACTCCTATTAAAAAGTAAAATAATAAATTATATTCAGTTTAATATCCAACACAATTAAATAATCAAATACTTCAATTTAAACATCTTCATAAGTATATCTTAACAAATATATTTTTTATTAATAAATTATAAGTATATCAATTCCATAAGCAATCCTAATATCATTTTCATAGATATGATAAAGCTTAAGCAGTTTGTAAAAAGGGAATTAAAATTTAATTCATTCTATTGATAATAATATGCTTAAGTGATAGGAATATCTATGAATGTAATGATATAACGAATAAGTAGCAAATGAGGCCCCCTTCAATTGAAAACTTTAATTAATATATAATAAATAATTTGTGAAAATTTAAAAATAAACTAATAATAATATATTAAAATGAATTAAGGTACCGATCAATAAGTCATAGATAAGGATGAAGAGATCAAGTAATTAAAGTTAGAGGTTTAGGAATGTAAAGAAAGGGAAATTAGATTTAAGGAGCTATCTTAACATCTGACTTAATTAGAAGGAAGGTATTTTTGTAATTTTATGATAAAAGATATAATCATTTGAAAGATTAAAAATCTGCAAGTGAGTAATAGTTGAAAACATAGATTGAATAATATTAAAAAATGGTGAAAATATAATAGAAGGAGATAGAAAATTTGAAATAATAAGTTTAGGAATTGGAGGATGAATTAGTAGAGAATGAAGAATAATAGAAGTAGCCAAACAAAATAATTGCAGATGAAAATCTTGTGATTAATAAATTAAATAGTGAGAAAACATAATTGGATGAAGAAGTAAAGGGATTAAAAGAGACAATCAAATAGTATGAAATTTATATTAGTTTAGAATAAAACAAGAGTATGATAACATATCTAAAGATTTCTAGTCTTTGAGTAAATAAACTGACATAAACAAAAGCTAATTTACTTAAGTAATGATATTTTGAAATAAATAAGATTAAAGAGGAATTAGTATAAAAAAATTAAGAATTAAAACATACAAGAAGACAATATTAAGAAGCTTTGAATTATATCAGTTAATAATAACCAAATGCTCCATTCCAAAATAATTCAGCTATAAATGAATTATCATAAACTAATCAATAATTATTGACTCAAAATTAATAACTAAATAGAACAATATCAAAATTAAAATAAGATTTAGATCATGTTAAGAAAGCACATTAAGAGGCATTAATTGAAGCTGATATGTTAAGTAGAAATTTAGAATAATCATAATTATAAAGTGAATAGATTAAAAATTAAAAAGAAGATGTAATGATATTTAAATAATATGTATATAGATTTCATA